CCCCTCCCCTCTAGAACCCTCAGTTTGTTTCTCAGAGTCCACAGTCTCTCATGGTTCGTCTCCCCCTCCGATTTCCCCCCTTCATTTTTCCCCGCCTGCTATCTTCTTCTTCTTTTTAACATATAATGTATTATTTGTTTAAAGGGCCGCTGAGATATATAATTCTTGATAAAAAATAAAGCTCTAGCATTGTGTAAATAGCCTGCTTAGTATTGAAGTTTTAACTAATGTATTCTTTTTATTTTTAAATAAACACTAATTAGTTAGAAGAAATGGTCAAAAGATGAGGTAGAATAACTTGTTTTTTCTTACAGCCCAAAATGTTAACAACCAAAATAAATTATTTGGCCTCCAAGTACAGTAGCCTATTCTGCCCCGAAGGGAGATTATATAATTAGACAACTATTTAATTATACAGTTAGGTAAAAATAGCCAACACTTAATATTACGTGATTACATGGTAGGCATTGTTGTTAGTGCCTTATACGTGTAAGCCCCTGGGATCCTCATCTCAACTCTAGGATACAAGTGAAGTTTTCATCCCCACGTTCTAGCCAGAAGGTGAGGGGCAGAGATGAGGCCGCTCACCGCACCCGGCTGTGAAGCAGCAGAGCCAATACTCGAACGCTGGCAGTTTCGCTTCGGTCCACAGTCTTACCTACCGCGCTCTCCTGCTCTACTGCCTCTGATTACGTGATGTTGCAAGAATACAATCAAAAACAAATACTAAAAAGAAAGTAAACATTCTCCTTAGGACATATCCTTAAAAACCTGCTTCATTTTGCCAATGAATTTCACAATGCCCATTTCATATGGCTCAGGACAATTTGTCTTTCAGTAGTTACTAAAAAAAAGTACAAAAGAAGGAGGAAAAAAAACCACTTTCAATTCAAACTTTTTCTCAGAGGTGTTTAAACATAAGCAACAACCTCTTAACACTCAGAATATATACATTAAAATTTAACAGGATTTCAGATAATGCATACTTACAAATTATTAAAATTTCATGTGGTACAATCCCTTACATAACAAATGAGAGAATTTAAGCCCAGTTCTTATACATAAGAACTGTGTAAAGTAGCAGAGCTGGATGTGCAAACCAAAGCGCAGGTCAAGAGGAGAATAACACTGGAAATGGGCAGTTAGTATGCTTCAGTTGGCATTTCTACTGGATGTAGGCATATTCGCTGTGCAATCCTTAACGTAAGAATTACGGATTCCCCTTGCTTCCACATCACTTACATTGTATGCATTCAGAGGAAGGAGAATACATAATTTATTTAAGTTAAGATAATAGAAAAGCTAGAGGAGAAACACACACACGTGCGCACACACACAAATCTATAAAGACAACATCAAAATGACATGGCAATTTCCTCTCAAATTTCTATCACTCCCACATAGCCAGTCACTTTTTCCTCGGTTAGAATTAAGGCCATAGTGTTGACTCCTTGTTATCTCTCTACTTCCAGAAAAGAAATTACCACCAAGACAAAAGATGAAGCTAAGATTACATAAGACAGATGAGGTCCTCAGTAAAATTATATATTGCCACTACATCAGTTTGGTAAGGGCATAAATGCATTAAAAATTCACAAGAACATTTTTGTAAACATGTCCAATGTTACTTGTAATCTCTGCAGCTTAGAGAATACTGTGAAAATAGTGGGGGTGAGAGCAGACCAGGCCTCAAGCATCCAGGGTGGTCTCTAGAAGCCACAGATTTCCGTAATTACCCCTTCAAAGACCACATGCTTCTTTCATAACTGGGGCTTACATTCTCATGCTTTAACCCCTATACTAAAAAAGAAACTAAAGAATCTATGAAACTAAAATCAGAGTTTTATCATATTTTACCGTATGTGCCCTATTTTTAGTTTACAACATTACCTTGGTTTAAAGTTTCTACTGTGATTTCAAATACAGAAAAGCAAAAAACAGACAGTATGGTGAAGTAATGGGTTTGATAAATGGACTTTCTGGGAAAAATCAGAATTAACCAAAGTTCTTATTTCAACTCCTGTTAAAAGCCTTTCTGTATTGTAAGAATTCTCTTAAAGCCTAAAGACACTGTTCTTATATGTAAGTCAGTCAAGAATCTTAAGTACCATCTTTAACATCAGTAATGTAGAATTCATTTAAGAATGAATACTGAGATGAGTAATATTCATGCCCCCAACCTGTGGAAAATACAAATAGTCTTATCACCTTGCAATGTACCTCTGCCTCAAGAGTGACAGTCATCAAGCAGCTCTAACCTTGTCTCCTTTGTAACTGAAAACACCAAGGTCACATACCAGTTTCCTACACTTCTCACCAAACATGATTATCTACAGCTTCAATCACTGCCACTTTTTGCCAACTCTCTCAGAAAACAAACTCCTGCTCCCCTTTCAAACTAATCTTTCCACAAATGCTCTTGATCCGAAATCCCAATCCCCTGTATTATCTAGAGCCATCCTCCCTTCTACTGGGTCACTTTCATTTACAAAACCTACTCCAATCAAGTCCTCCATACTTCATCCCCACACACAAAAACCATCTTTTCACTTTTTAACAGTAAATGCTCATTATGGGTTGAACTGTGTCTTCCAAAAAGATATGTTGGAGTCCTAATCCCAGGTACCCGTAAACGTGGCTGGAAACAGCGTCTTAGCAAATGCAATTGGGTTAGGATGGTATTTTTAGGGTAGGCCTCTAATCCATTAGGACTGGTACTCTTATTAGAAGAGAAAACAGAGATACAAGGAGAACGTCATGTAACAAAGGAAAGCAGAGATTGAAATGATACATATACAAGCCAAGGAAGCCAAAGCTTGCTGGCCATCACCACAAGCTAAGACAAAGGCATGGAACAAACTTTCCCCCAGAGTCTTCAGAGAGAGCATGGCCCTGCCAACACCTTGATTTCAGACTTTCAGTGTCTAGTACCCCGTGAGAAAGATAATTACTATAAATACTATAAATTAATTTCTGTTGTTTTAAGCCACCTGGATTGTGGTACTTTGTTATGGCAGCCCTAGGAAACATGCAAAGTCTTTAATTATAGGTGCCTCCCTGTCTGATCACTTTATAACTAAAATCTGAATACTAATACCAAGGGTTGGCAAACTATGCCCATGCCATAATTCTGTAAATAAAGCGTTAATGAAATACAGCCACACTCATCCATTTACTTATCATCTATAACTGCTTTCAATTCTACAACAGCAGATACAAATAGTTGAGACAAAGACTGTATGGCCCACAAAGCCTAAAACATTTACTACCTGGTCCTTTACAGAAAAAGCGTGCTGACCCATAACCTATACGGTGAATAAATGAATAATGACCAAAGCTACTAAATGCAACCAATTTGAAAGTCGAATTAACAAGCATTGTAACACGGATATCTGGAGTTTTATCTGTGCGTGTGTACAATAAATATCTGAAGAACAACACATTAAATATTATAATGCTTGAATAAGTTCAAACTGATGATTACTCTTATTAGATGTATAGCAGCTATCATAGTGATTAATACAAAAGAAGATTTTACCATATGCATAAACTTTTACCCACTTAGTCCCCCAAATATACTGTGGATTACTATGACAATTATTGTGATTAGTTACATACAGCTGACCCTTAAACAAGGGTTTGAATTGCACAGGTCCACATATATGCAGACTTTTTTCAATATAGTACAGTACTAGATATGCATTTTCTCATGAGTTTTTTTTTCATTTTATCTCATGATTTTCTTAACATTTTCTTTTCTCTCTTCTTGTAAGAATACAGTATATAGTACATATAACTTAAAAGATATGTGTTAATTGACTGTTTATGTTATCTTTAAGATTTCGGTCAACAGCAGGGTATTAGTAGTTTAGTTTATGAGGAGTCAGAAGTTAAACCTGGATTTTCAATGTGCAGAGGGTCTCCAACTCTAACCTTGTGTTGTTCAAGGGTCAATTATACATTTCTTACAATGAACCTCTCTGGGCAAAGACTTTTTAATTTCACTGGGAGGAAATCATATGGTTTTTAGGATCTAAAGAAATGCCATCATTCTCATACGATAAATGCAACTTTGTTATGATAATTAACACTTCACTTAACCATCTTGCATATCTGACCATATCTGACTTAGAACACAGCTAAGAAATCAGGGAAGTGGGGGAGTGCAGGAAGGGTTAACAGCTACATCTTCTTGCAAAGTACAAACATGAAGCACATATGTATATATGTATACATATACATGTAAATATGTATTTCATATAAATTTATAAATACACTTATGTTTATAAATATATATTTAATTGATACTATATCTTTAATACATAAATATATACAACTCAGAGCCTGTTCTTATTCTACACAATGATATACAACATATAAAGATAATATATATCCTTAATCTATATAGATATACTGCATAAACATTAACTCAGAGCTTATTTTTTAAAGTTTTTTTTTAATTGAGGTATACCTGACACATAACATTATATTATTTTCAGGTATACAACATAATGATTTTATACTGGCTCTAAATCATACTCAATCGATACAAGTTTCATAGTATAACTATGATGCCAACACAAATTAAAAGTCCCAAATTATAATAAAATTTCTTCCCAAAAGTAGGCTAACCAACTGGAGCAGTGAGAAGTGTTACATGTCACCAGCCTTTGGACAATTCCTAAACATTTTTAAAGCCTTGCTTAAAAGTGAGGTCTCAGGATGGGGTGGGGAGATGGACCTTGATTAGGATACCATCAGCAGGGACCTTGTCAGAAATGTGGAATCCACATTATTTTAACAACATCCTCAGGAGATCTGTATCCACATTCAAATTTGAAACCCATGGCCCAGAATTATAGTAATTGATTACCACTAAAAGAAAATACTGTCTAGAAGTACTCTTCTCCTTGACAATCATCCAAACCCAAATGAAGGTCCAATTTCACAAAATACAGATGAAAAACTTACAACAATACTCATTTAAAATATGACAATACCTTGAGTACTTGAACTTGACCTTCTGTAGTAATTTCCTTTAGCAGCTCACAAAACGACTGACAGAGACCCACTGCATATGTCTGAAATTCAATCAAAAGTCAAAATATACATATAAATATATTTGCAGTATCAGAACAGGCAAAAATTATATTTGGAACTCATTACAATCTATTTGAAAACTATATACTTAAGGTCTAAGTATATAAAGTTTCAATTAGAACTCTTAGAAAAAGCTTAGAAAATAAAAATACAGTTTACTGCGATACTGATTTTTACAGAAATATAAGGCTGTATTTATTTACAGAGATACTTTCTGTGTTAAGTAACAGTTCATGGAACTGCATCACATCTACCCTACAGTGCTTATAAAGTTTTTTCTCCCCTTAAAGTAACTGATCAATCTTCATTTAAAAGGTACCTCTTGATTTCAAATGAGAGACAAAGTAAGAACTACATAAATTTTTACAATGCAAAAACTAGTACATCATACCTGTAGAAATTCTGTTGATGATAAAAAGATATAACCATTGATGATCTTAAAGCAGGTTCTGAGATTTTCTGAACTTAGTTCTGCCAAAGAATTTATTTTAAAAAGGACAGGTTAATTCAATGTTCAAAATCAGTTTAAATGAAGCACTTTATTTAAAACTAAGTTATATACAGTTCTTTACAAACCTTTTGAGTGCTGTTCAGACTACTGGGATTCAAACAGCTATCTAAGAACTGACATCAACCTATAACTGAGTACTTCCCCATATACCTGGCACTAGTTGAAAGAATTTAAGGAAAAAAATTAAGCTCCCAGGTTTTTTATTCCTTTCAGAAAACAAGCACATAATCATATATACCAAACTTTCATTTCAAACTACGTTTCTAGTGCCAGCATGGTAAATGACAAGGAACTGAATTTTTTTTTTTTTTTAAGATTTTATTTATTTGACAGAGAGAGACACAGCGAGAGAGGGAACACAAGCAGGGGGAGTGGGGGAGGGAGAAGCAGGCTTCCCGCTGAGCAGGGAGCCCGATGCGGGGCTCGATCCCAGGACCCGAGGCCCACGACCGGAGCCTAAGGCAGACGCTTAACGACTGAGCCACCCAGGTGCCCTGGAACTGAATCATTTTACCATCATATTTTTATAAGTGCTTAAATGGTTCACTCAATAAGCATCTACTGAGTGCTGCTGCGCTGGCACTGGATATGATATGCTACTTATGAAAAGAGTCCTATTACACTCCAAAAACTTTCAATACTGTGTTTAGATAATTCTCAATCCTTGGACTCGTCTTCAAATCTGCTCTCCTGTAAGAACTTACACATAAAAAATATTCTTAAAGATGTAACTATCAGGGGTGCCTGGGTGGCTCAGTCGTTAACTGTCTGCCTCTGTCAAATAAATAAATAAAATCTTAAAAAAAAAAAAAAAGGAATGAGAATACTAAGTAAATTAACACTATAAAACAGATTTAAAGGATTTTAAAAACAAGCCCTTAGAACTAAGTTATCAGAATTATTTTCAGTGATAGCTTTTGGTTCTACTTTATTTTTATTTTTTAATTTTTAAAGATTTTATTTATTTGACAGACAGCGAGAGCAGGAACACAAGCAGGGGGAGTGGGAGAGGGAGAAGCAGGCTTCCTGCCGAGCAGCGAGCCGATGTGGGGCTCGATCCCAGGACCCTGGGATCATGATCTGAGCCGACGGCAGACGCTTAACGACTGAGCCACCCAGGCGCCCCTTGGTTCTACTTTAAATTCCTCTGGTTCTACTTACATTTAGGAAAAAGGATATAAAATGAATTTTAGCCTTGTATTTATTCACACACTTAAAATATCTTAAAAATTATTAACTTAAACATCTAAATAGTATTCAATATTGTTGGTCTTATGTATTTTATTTATTTATAACTTTATTTTTTATTATGTTAATCACCATACATCATTCGTTTTAGATGTAGTGTTCCATGATTCATTGTTTGTGCATAACACCCAGTGCTCCATGCAGCATGTGCCCTCTTGAATACCCATCACCAGGCTAACCCATCCACCCACCCCCCTCCCCTCTAGAAGCCTGTTTGTTTCTCAGAGTCCATAGTCTCTCATGGTTCGTCTCCCCCTCCGATTTCCCCCCTTCATGAAAATGAGAAAATTCCTGCCAACAGCTTTATTTCTACTTATAAAAAAGTAATAGCTATCATATTCAATAATTTTTAAAAATCATAGATACAATGACAAAGAATATGTTTTCACTGATAAGAAAAGTAAGTATTCATTTTGATCTATAGTCTTCAAAGATTAAAATAAATATTCTGGGGCGCCTGGGTGGCTCAGTTGGTTAAGCGACTGCCTTCGGCTCAGGTCATGATCCTGGAGTCCCGGGATCGAGTCCCGCATCGGGCTCCCTGCTCAGCAGGGGGTCTGCTTCTCCCTCTGACCCTCTTCCCTCTCGTGCTCTCTGTCTCTCATTCTCTCTCAAATAAATAAATAAAAATCTTTAAAAAAAAAAAATAATAATAAAATAAATATTCTGGTTATATTTCAAAATAAATTCTAAAGCTAATATAACATAATGTATATGCAAAATGTTACATGTAAAAATGAGTTTTGTGATACTCAAGAATATGATACTCAAGAATAAAGGTAACACTGTTGTCAAGGTATACTAAACATGCACAGATATAATGTGTAAACAGAATTTCTTCATTTATCAAAGCAAATATATATACCATAATGCATAAAACAAATTACATACAATGTTTTCAAAGAGAAAGCAGGAAATAAACTAATTCAGTAGCTTCCATATAATCTATATTCACTGTTAACTATCTGTAAAATACAGAATTTTTTAAATTTTTGAATATTAAAAAAGCTTAAATCTAGTATTATCACAAGGATGAAATTTTAGTAGTTCTTGATTTAGTTAAGTAACAAATCCTTCACTGACTGTGGTTGCTTTTGCTTTTAAAATAGCAGTAATATTAACAGTAATAGTAACACATATAATTGCAAAACAATCTTTACTATGTGGCAGACATTTTTTTAAAGATTTATTTACTTTTATTAGAGAGAAAGAAAGAGCATGTGCATGTGTGCGCACCTGTACAAGCAGGGAAAGGACCAGAGGGAGAGGGAGAGTCTCAAGCAGACTCCCCTCTGGGGGTGGAGCCAGATGCAGGGCTCAATCTCACGACCCTCGTATCATGACCGAGCCGAAATCAAGAGTCGGATGCTTCACCGACTGAGCCACCCAGGTGCCCCACCAGACACTGTTCTAAATACGTATCTAAATGCATCAACTACAGAGCTTTCTATGGTTAAACTGTACTACAGTGCTTACCTAAATCTACACTCAAAATACTGTCATAAAGTCTTAGTAGGGTTAGTCAATACTTTTTAAGTCTTTTTCCTGTCTACCCACCCTTCTCTTGTTACACTGTAAAGGTCAGGCATGCTGGATTTGGGGTCAAATAACATAGGCAAAGTGAAATCACTGTATAACGTCACCCATAAGTGAAAATGGCTGAATCCTGTTCATGACAAAGTTGACAATGGCTCTGGTTGAGGTTTCTATTCCTAGGTCAAGTACAAAGAAGCACTGTGGATTACCCAGAATGACACTGTATTTGGTCTCCAAGTTAGGAAGAGTAGAACTAAAAGGCCTTCACCAGAGTTAAAGGAGTGAAAGGACATTTTCCACTTTCTTTCCCTATGGTTTCTTAAAAAAAGATAAAACTTTTTTTAGGAGACTAGCAACAAGTGACTGGTCTATTGCCACAGTCTTCATCTTTGGGATTTTTTTCCAACAATTTTATAGGGACACTAGATGATAAATGGCAAGTGGCTCTTTATCAGAAAACAGATGCTTTTTGGTATTATTTGAGATCTATTCTGAAGAATGGGGTAAAATAATAGAAAATAAAGAAAATGTGAAGGACTAATTACATTTTCTACCCACTATGACCATCCAGAAAATGAGATGTTTTCTAATCAGTTATAATAGTGTTTTAGTCCACATTTGTTGATCTGTGAAAAAGTAAATCTACTTTTCTGGTGTAACATTATACCTCAGTAATATTTTCGTCTAATAAAACTACTCACTACAAATAAATTCCCAGAAAAAAAAGTCTTCAGATATTGCTGTAAATGCCCTCTACCGACAATATTTAGTTAGTAGACACAAAGTTCTAATGAAGGAATTAAAGATGTTTCATGGATCACTCTTGAAGAATGGTTACTATAAATGCAAAACACTGAATTTTTACATTTTATAAATAAATTATAGTATTCTGCAGACTGAAAAAGAATCACAAAGGCCCATAAACAGCACTGTATACAATCTTTATATTACTCCAAGAGAGTTTAAATGTGAATATCCACTGGTAAAATCCCTCACAAAACAACTCTATAAACAAATATTATGTTTTTTAAAATGTAAGGTATTACTTATGAATGGTAGGTGACATGTAACAGCAAAGTATTCTCTAGTATTAATTATCATCAGAAAACATGTTCAGATTGGAAAAAAAACCTAATTAGATCTCATCCAAGGTGGCCTAAGAGACTAAGGCCCCACTCCCAGCACAGTGTCCAGTTCTCCCATCCCATGTGCCACAAATGATGCTTCTAGAATATTACACTTCATGATTTTGCATCTCTATATGTCAGTAATACTTAAACAATAAATATGATTTGCCAATATTTAATAGTCTTCATGTTGTTGGTACCTTAGCTAAATCAGAAATATGTACAGAGCTCATTTGTGAACAAGTGACAGCATAAAATCATTTTGTAAAGGAAACTGGGTAATACCATGGTATACAGAAGCAGCTTTACAATACAGTCTTTTAAATACCTTATAGAACCTGCTATGAAACATAAAAACTTTACCAAAGTTCAAACTTAATATGGAATTAATTTTCCAAGAACACTTTTTTGTTTTTAGTTATTTAGTAAATTTAGTGTCTACTCTTTAATAAGCAGAAATGGCTCTAAAAAGTTATATAGGTACATACCTAAAAACTATTAAAACACTATTAAACTTGTTTGTGAATACGAGGGACTTCTGTAAAAATGGAAGGTATAATTTAAAGTCACCTATCAGGCCCCAAATTATCACTGCATTCAAAAACAGTATTGTGTTTTACACTTTCACACATACCAAGAAGTGGGGACATATTCTGAAATATACGAAGCAACTCTGGTGTAACACTTGGGCTGTTTTCCAAAGTCACTAACCTAGGAAGAAAAACAGATGATTAAGTCTCTTTCTATAACCATTAAACTGTTAACAATACAACTTATTAAAATTGTCCCATCTAAAGAAGAAAGAAAAATGGACAATACACAAAGTTATGAAAGTTATCTTTCTAGGAAAAAAATTACCAAATTTGTCAAAATTTAAAACCCATCTATAAATCATATATTATTATTTCTATATACACAGCAAAAATAGTAAGGGAAGTAACTACATACTAAAATATTTACAATAAAATTATAATGCTAAAGCAAAAGCATGATTATGGTCAAGGAAAGACAAAAATTGCTTTGTTTTTATTTTTCTGTCACATGTTATTCATGTGTCCTTTCAAGAGACCCTGGGAAATATGAAAGAACCAATGTATAAAAAATAAAATATATATGGGTTGTGGTTTATCAGGGAAGTGTGCAGCTGGTTTACCTCCTCACTCCCCACCCAAGAAGTTAATGGAGAAAAAACATGATTGTCAAAACAGCTGCAAGAAAAGAGGAGGGGATCCTATTCAAAATCTAACGTTCATTATCAAAACTATCCTATTATAAAGAGAAATAAGTCCTTAATCTGGTAAGAGGGTACCTACCAAACACTCGTAGAAAACACACCTAATGACATTTGACACCATTCTCCTGGAAAAACACAATCACACCTCAAAAAATATCCTCTATTTTTTATCTTGTCTACCTTCACATCTATTGAGTATATGTATGGAGGGCTCCTCGCATGATATGCCAAATAAATTAATAAAAGACACAAGGGTGAGAGGAAAAAGTTAAACAGTCTTTATTCACAGAAGATATGACTGATAGAAAAGAGAGGGGGAAAGAAGTACTTTAATCACTAAGAGACTTCAACAAGGTTGCTGAATATATCAATACACTGTATATAAAAATCAGCTCAATTTCTATATATCAAAACAAATACTTAAGATTTAAATAGATCTTACTCTAAGAGTCACTGATATAAAAATCCAGCACCATAAAGATGTCAATTCTCTCTAAATTGTTATACAGAATCAAAACTTCATTCAAATCCCCACAGGCTTTTCCCTAGAAATTAGAAAAGCTGAGTTCTAAAATGATTTGGAAGGCAAATGACCAAGAACAAACAAGAAATTTGCCAAGAAAACAAAACATATGGGGGTTGGAGGGGGCACTTCTTTTACCACATATTATGGCTTACTATAAAATCAATGTATTTAATATCGTAAACAGAGTAACATAAGAAACAGACCTGCTCCTTTATGAAAGAGGCAGCTCCCAGGTTAAGAAAAGGTTGGACAATTCAGTCACCAGTGGTGAGCTACTGGGCCTCTACCTCACATGAAATACAGAAATTAATTCCAGTTTTATATGAGAAGGATAACGTCAGGAGAACGTAATTAGAGCTTTAAGTTAAAGAAAGATTAAGGAAAAAGAGATAAATATGACTACATTAAAGTTAACGATTACTGTGTATCAAAAGATGCCTCAAAAAAGTCAAAATGTGGGGCACCTTGGTGGCTCAGCCGTTAAGCATCTGCCTTCAGCTCAGGTCATGATCCCAGGATCCTGGGATCGAGCTCCTCATCGGGGCCCCTGCTCTGTGGGAAGCTTCTCCCTCTCCCACTCCCCCTGCTTGTGTTCCCTCTCTCGCTGTGTCTCTCTCTGTCAAATAAATAAGTAAAATCTTAAAAAAAAAAAAAAAAGTCAAAATATAAGTCACATACTGGGAGAAGATTGTTTCCAATACATATAACTGAAAAGGGAACAGTCCAAAGGAATATAAGAGGTTAATAAAAGACAAATGTAGAGAGCACATGAGCCAGCATTCCAAAGAGGATCCATCCAAAAACTGTCAATAAACCGGACTATAAAAAATACAAAAAGATACTGAACTAGTAATCAAGAAAATGTAAAATATAAGCAAAACAAGGTACAATTTTACCCCTACCAGATTAGCAAAATTTCCAAAGTCTGACATAATAGGTATTGGCAAAGCTACGAACAATGAGAACTCTTGCACACTGCTGGCAGGAGGAAGTTAGTCTCATCACTTGGAAAGTAATTATCATCTGAAAAAGTAAAATATGTATATGTGCACATACCTATGACCTAGTGAATAAGGTCTCATACATCTGCATACATTGTCATGTACAAAATGTTCAGTTGCATTATCTGAACATCAACCAAAATGGTGTATATGAATTGTGACATTCATACCCTTAAACTCATCAATATGGATCAATCTTAGAACAGGGAGCAAAAAAAAAATAAGCAAGTTAGAAGACAAGCTATAAAATTTATATGAAGTTAGAATATACTGTTTAGAAAGACACACACACACATACACACACGTGATTTTAAAAACATTACAAGAAAGAAAACCAAGGAATGAAAACAAAAAAAACTGGTACAGTGGGTCATCCCTGAAATCAAAACAGGAGAATTCAACAAACATGCCATAACCATGGGCTTCAAAGACATTCTTACTATCTCATTTCTTAACGAGGATACAGGAAATGGATTTTCATTTTATGTAAGCTATAAATATTTACAAATAATATGACTTCCCTATTAATCTATGAACTATTTCACAAATTTTATTTATTTATTTATTTTTAAGATTTTACTTATTTATTTGACAGAGAGAGAGCACAAGCAGGGGAAGCAGCAAGCAGAGGGAGAGGGAGAGGCAGGCTTCCCGCTGAGCAGGGAGCCCGATGCAGGGCTCGATCCCAGGACCCTGGGACCATGACCTGAGCTGAAGGCAGATGCTTAACCGATTAAGCCACCCAGGGGCCCCTATTTCACAAATTTTAAATGCCAAAATTGGGAAGAGGAAGGGGGACACAAGAGAAACCAGCCACCCCAGAAATGAAGTACGTGCCACATATACAAGCAATAATATTTTTAGACACTTTAACTCGGATCAACAAGAACAGGATTTGATTCCATTTTTAAAGAATAAAACAAAAGATTTTAAAATTTTTATCCTATTCACCTTTACAATAACAATGAAATCAAAAGAAAAGCCACAATCCAGTCACGGTATCTCAGTGAGAAAAAAACTGATGGGCATATTCTAAAACTCAGAAGATGTTTCAAACTCTGTCATTGGATCCAAATTAAAATTCCATATGAATTCTTCCCTCCCAATGTCATTACCTTAGTAAAAAGACATTCAGGTCATTGTCACTCTCACTACCTATGCTCGTTTCCGCAACACAAGCCATAGTATTTTAAAAAGGAAAAAAATCTCGAAAAGTTTAAAGTACTTAAGATGACATAGCATTTAACTCCAACTTCAAATGAAGAATTAGAAAGGAAGAGAGAGAGACAAAGTCATTAGGAAAGAGATAAGTTACTATTCTGATGAATAATCAGACAAAGTTATATGTACCAAATCTTTACCTAGAGAAATGTAAATTTTAATGTTACCCTTCCACAAAAAATATAGGAAACATGGAGCATCAGGTAAAAAGACAGGTGTATCAATTCAACAAATAAGTATAAGAGCATGAAAGTTCTTTTGAGGTAAAGCATCTCTGGTTAAGTTAAAATACAAAATATAAAAATTTGAACTGTATATGAAACACAACTAAATTTCAAACAGAAAAGCTAAAATGTAAACACTGAACAAAGACAGTTAAGTCAAATCTAAATAAAGTAAACCATATGATGATATAGCAGATAAAATTTAAATGCAAAATAATTAAAAAGTGAAAAGTTAATCAATGAATACATACATACTACATCACATGATGCTTCATGAAAGTAGTTTAAATTTTAAATACTGTGTTTATTAAATATTTTAACAATATACAAAAATACCAAAATTTTGTGCAGTGAATTATCTCTTTTAAAAGTTACAGATCAAGAATGCTAGAAATAGTTTTCTGACGGGCAGGCAACTGTAAAGGAGCTTTATATCTTGTCTCTCCACCTATGGTATCATCACGGTTGTATAGTACACAGGATAGTAAGTTTGATTTAAATTCTTAGCTGTGTATTATTTGCACTACTTCAGTTGTATCATGTGCAGTCTCTTGACCAAGCCTATTTTTAAACTCTGTAGAGTATCATTTTATACATATTCCCTGCTACAGAATTTGTATTGCTTAGCTCAGCAAGAGACTGTCTGCATGGAAAGATTAATAGCACTGATTAGCCTTCTAATATTTTGCACTTTTTGAAATGTTTTTTTTTTTTACCTGATTCTATTTAAAAGTTTACAAAATACTGAAATAAAACCATATTGACAAGTTAAAAAAAAAAAAAGAATGCTAGAAATAAAAAGGGACACTGACACAAGAAAACTAGATGGGTATTTTAATAAACCAGTGTCAAAATTAAAAAGTAAAACACTGATTTGAACTATACAACCCACCAGTTAGAAAGAATAAAATCTGCTTCTTTTATATCATCATTACTATTGATATGAATATGCTACAAAAGCAAAGCCTATAGTCATTAAAATTCATATTAATTTTTAAAAAACTGAACAAGTGATATGTTGTATTTACAATGCAGTAAGTCCAGACCTCAATCATACACTTTAGTACCAGCAAAAAATAAATGAGACTGAGTCAAAGGAGACATTAAAAATCCACAATGCTACCACCAAAATAAAAAACAGGACATTATATGTCAAGACTTTAGGGAAATAGGCAGTTATAAGCCAAGACAAATTCATAGCTTTACATGTTTTAGCACTTAAGGTAATAAAGTAACAATTTTTTATAGCTTTAAGAAAATATACCCAGCTAAGTGTAGGAAGTAAAAAATCTGAAGGAGAAATAAAGTAATGAAAGGATAGAAACATAGGAAAACTCATAAAATCTAACATGTACTTCTTTCACATTAATAAAAAGAAAAATCTCTAATAAATGTACTTTAGAGGCAAAACAAAAATAAAACTGCAAATAGCAGAGGTAAGGCAAATGTATGTAAGGTTTTTTTTTTTTATTAGTATCTTAAGGTATTAAGTACCCAAATTGTAACAGACATGGAAAATCAAAACCCAAGTATGTATAAACTAACAACTAAGAAACAACTTCAGAATATTACCAAACTATGAATGACTCCCCAGCCACTGCCATGAATCCATTTTCAGTTCCCTTTATTACTAAATTTTCAAATCATCCAAAGAGTTACTGTATTATAGAGATCACTCCAGTATGAAAAAAAAAAAAAAATCACTTTTAAAAACTGGTAAATTGGTAAAAGAAACATGACACTGATATGAAATCAGTATCACAAAATACGGACTGTCAATCCAACTCATTTATAATTAAAGGAAAAAATAAAATCTGATAAAATACCAGAAAATAGACTTGTATGACATATTAAAAGTAGAATTCACCCTAGCAAGAAAAGTTTATTTCAGGAAATCATTTTTTAAAGAAAGTGGTTTTGGGTTTGTTTTTTTGTTTTGTTTTGTTTTGTTTTTTTAAGGTTCTAAATCTCCTAAGTGGATGGCAAAAGGCAATCAAACCAGTTTTTTGGTTTTGGTTTTGGTTTTTAATAATGAAGAGCATATTACAATTAATGGTATATAGCTGATGCTTATTGTTGACCAGTCTCCATTACCCTATGTATTTCCTTTAAAAAGAAAAAAAAAAATACTAGCCCTTTATGCAGGTTTGTTCAAATGCAAGGTTTGTTCAAATTCTGCTTAAAAATATTTTATAGTATTACATGTTCATATGAGGAAAGAAGAAAAAAAATTACCAAACTGAATCTCAGAAGGTAGGTCAAATGACAAAAACTTAAAGTAAGTAGAAAGTGGAAATGATAAATATAAGAGCATTAATAAACAGAAAACAAAAATACAACAAAGAGAATCAAATCCAAAAGTTGGTTCTTTGAGAAGGCTAGTTAACACTGACAAATCTCTAGCATGTTAGATCAAGAGTGGGGGAATAAACTTGACGGGGAAAAAACCCCACATAATCAGTCGGAAGAGTTTTACCTGGTATATATGACCACAAACATCTCTTGCTACTGATTATCCCTAGTAAGTTCAAATTCCCATTCTCCAAGATAATTATTTTACATCTTTTTTCTCCACAAATCCCTCGTATCTTATACATACTTCAACTCCAGCCGTTAACACTATACTGATGGCTACAGTTCACATTTAGTTGAGAAAACGTATCTATTTGATCGAACACCTTCCCATCTCATCCCACTATAATACAAAAATCCATCTTCCTGCCCCCAGTTAAAATGGATGAAGTATCCCTGATGCTATTTAAACAAACAAACAAACAAACAAACCCTACATAGGCTGAATCCCATCCCTTCTTGCCTCCAATTATATCACTCCTGAGGCTCATCCATCCCTCCAGACCCTGCATCCCCCCACACCAGCCAACTGCTGCCCAATTTCTACACTCCTCTTCATAGTAAATGCTCCCGAAGTTGTCAATGCTCACAGTCTGTACTTAAATAATTTCAATTCTAACTTATTCTTACCACTTCACTGAAACCCCTCCTATCATCTCCATGGGCCAAATTCACTTCTTTGTACTCCTCTAACAAGGATAATCAGCAACATTTGACATAGCTGACCACTCTCTCTTTCAGGAAATATTCTCCTCTCTTGGCTTGGTCTTCCTGCTCTATCACTAGACAGCTCTTCTCTGTCACCTCTGATGTGACCTTGGAATCTGGGATTCTGACTGTTGCACACCTGCCCTTTCCTTCCTAGGCAATCTCAATGATTCTCGGGCTTTCAATGTCATATACAAAGTGCTAACCACTTTACAAACACTACCTCATCCTCACAACAGCCATGTGAGGTAGGAATTATACCTCCTCATTCTACAGATAAGGAAACGGGAGTTTCACAGACAATGATTACACACCTAATGCAGTGGTGTAACTGGGATTGGCACCTACATCTGATTCCGAAGAGGTGTTCTAACTAAGAAAAATATATGAAGAAATGTGTACCCTGGTTCGATCTAAAGAATCTCAGCTACTAAGCAATTTGGCAAAACAAAAACAAAAGCAAAAAAAAGTCACAAGTACTCTAATGATTTCATTTTGTTTACATATAACTAAAAAGACCACTATTAACAGAGCAAGTACTTTTATTATTACCTGCTCATGTAATCCTTAAAAAAATTTATAGACCTTTAATGCACACATTAATATACTGAGTCTACTAATATATATACACATATGCTAATATATTGTTAAGTATCTGAGTCTATCTCATTACTATAGCTAATATTTTTAGTTTTTCTAATAGTTAACATCATATAGATACATGTTTACAGAAATGTGCCAGAGACTAATGTTTTAATTTATAATCTAGAGTAGGGACTGGCAAACTGCAGCTCATGGGTCACATTCAACCCACACCCTATTTCTGTAAATGATGTTTACAGCCATTTTATATACTATCTATGACTACTCTGGCACGAAAACAGCAGAGGTGAATAGTCAGGATAAGAGAACACATAGCTTGGAAAGCCTAAAATACTTATTGTCTGCTCCTTTACAGAAAAAGTATGCCAATATCTGATCTAGAGTAATCCATCCTGCACAAATAAAAATACATGAATATAAAAGGATTCAACACATGCTAATTTGCAATCAAACCATCTAAAGTCATTTAAGTTCAAACAACATAACCCAGAAAATATGAGAAACCCAACTTGTGAATTGAATATCTACCTGTTTTAAAACCGTTCAGGTAGTATTCTGCTATAGATCATTAATTTATAATTTGCACCAATTTCTAAAAATCAAAAAACTGTTCATTCCTAAACATCTAAGAAAATACTAAGGCAGGAAGGAATGAAAGGAGGAAGAGAGAGGAGGAAGAAAGGAAAGCAGAAATGTTCACTTTCTCTACAGTTATTTCTGTGATTTTCATTTTTTAATTTCAATAGTTTATATATCAGAATGTTTAAGCCTTTCCTGTATTACAATTGGCCCTGCAGAAAATTGCTGCTATGTGTAAGATAAGCTTAGTAAAGCAAAAGGATTTTCTATGTTCTGGCACAGTTCCTTACATAGTGGTCAGTTACTACAGGTCTGTGGTACAGTCACCTCAGAAACAGAGTTTTTCCTTTTTACTTTTCAACATGACATACTACTCACTTGGTAAAATAATTAGTCAAGTCAAGACTAAGTAGCCTCAGCATTTGGGGCTGAGGTACAGTATCTCAATACTTACTGGGTAAGGTAGTAAGAGGCTGAAAAATAACTCAACACCCCCCAAAACATCCCATTTAACAGGCTGCAAGTTTTAAGTCATTTTTAGTTTTGAAAATTTATTGCGCTCTCCCATTTTACATTTCAAATTCGCAAATATTAAATGCAGCCAAGTTCTTACTGAAATTTTCCCTTTGAACTTTGACTACTAAGAGCCTACACTGAGTGACAGCTGCCAAGAACAGATGGAGCTATTACGTTACCCAGTTCAGGGAAAGTGATTTCATGTTTTTGTTTTTAAATGCTGAATTTTTAAGCCCTGTTACATGACCTTTGCTTTATTGGCATGAGAGTATGGAAGGCCGGGGGTGGGGGTGGGGGGGGAAATCCAGGGTATCAAATTTTTCCTCTTACCATAATTCTAAACCATCTTCCAGAAGATAAACATGTGGAGGCTGGGAAACATCTGTACTCAGTTGAATAACTGGGAGCAGGAAAGGGTACAGGTTCTTGCTGTCTGCTCCTAATCCCTATGGGAAGTATAAATAAAACTTAACATAAGACACTCTAAGATCCCACTCCCACCAAAAAAATAACCTATCATATAAAAAGGTCCTAAAACAAACTTATAAAAAATAAATCAATCAGATTTTCTGGGATGGTCCTAACTACAGCACTACTAAAACAAGGTTAGTTCTGTTTACAACTGAACAGCAAGTAGCAAAAAAACACTATTCAATTGCCTAATGGTAATAAAACCATGTACACCAAGGCTATAAACATCTGTTCGTTTTAAGAGATTCCACATATAAATAATTTCTCTTCTCTACTTAAGAAGTACTAACACTGCTATATTAAATTCTATAAATCATCTCTAAATGAACCCAATCAAAATGTTCATCAGTAAAATAACTGTATCATAGTACATTCATATTCCAGAATACTGAGTAGCCAATGAAAAAGGATTAGGCATGGAATGAAAACAACCTCAAAAATAATTACTAACTGGATTTAAAGGGCACAAAAGTGTGTGTATAACAATTGCACAAGGTCTAAGAATTTTTAAAAATATCTACCTATATGCATATGAAATAGATGCATAAAAACGTTTCTAGGGAGCATATAGAAAAAATTAACACTAATTAAATATGGGAAGGGGAAAAGGATGCTGGAAGAGGGTAAAAGAGATTCTTTCTTTGGTTTGTAAGTTTTTTTTTTTTTAAATGAACAATTTTTGCTCGTATTACTGACCCAAGAACACAAAGATGGAGGAAGAAGAGGGTTTTATCTCAAGTTCTAGTTTGCCTAATAACTGTCTTACAGAGGTTGACTCAGGGAAGCACACTAAGTCTAAGCGCTCTACAAGAAAATGAAATAGATAAAAAGTCAATTTCTAATCCATAATAATCTCTCTAATCTGATAAACACAGAAAGGAAACCAATAAAGTATCAAACACCTCCCTTATTTAGGAAATAATTCAAATATCAATACAGTTTATAATAAATTACAGTGCAACAAAATCTACATGTATTTGACGAACCATGAGAGACGATGGACTCTGAAAAACAAACTGAGGGTTCTAGAGGGGAGGGGGGTGGGAGGATGGGTTAGCCTGGTGGTGGGTATTGAGGAGGGCACATTCTGCATGGAGCACTGGGTGTTATGCACAAACAATGAATCATGGAACACTTCATCTAAAACTAATGATGTAATGTATGGGGATTAACATAAGAATAAAAAATTAAAAAAAAATCTACATGTATTTATCTTATACTGAGTTCCATCTTTATTAGTGGGGCAGCTACCTCAGTGGAAATACATAAAGTTTCATCCTTCAAAAAGTTTGACCCCTTCTGTAACTAAAAATCAGTTGAAAGACCTTATTAAAGATGTTTTTAAAGAAGGAGGATTATTAAAATGTCACAATTAACAAAGTAGTATACTGGATTTTAAAGTTTAGTTTAATTTCAGTCTCTACAATTCAATCTATAACAAAACAACACAAAGAACATTAAGATAAACCAGTCAAGTTCATTTTTATTATCAAGTAGACCTAAAATTTCCTAGAAAACTTAGAATCCATCTACTTACTTAGCACACATCAATAAACACAAGATGCTAGCTTTAGACATATCAAAGTAAGCAAATGCTAAACATGTAAGAGTCTCTCGGGTCAAAGCCTGAAGACATTCACCTTTGTAGTCTAATGGCCTAAAGAATGTGTCCAATCCCAGATATTCAGCTTTAAATAAATTTGAACATTCTCTTGGCCCACAGTTATAAACTACAAAACACTGTCTCCAACACTATGAAATAATCACAATAGGACATTGTGTACAATACTACAAAAGCTCAAAAGTAAATTCAACAGTTATTAAAATTATGAGACATGCTTCAAGGGGCAGAAATCATACTATACTATCATTACATAAGACAAAAGGGAAAATGAGGTGAAGGATACTCTGTACTATCTTTGCAAAAGCCTATGAATTTATATTTACTAATTTTTTTTTAGGTTAAGGGGGAAAAAAAGAATAATACCCCCTAAATATTGGCATTCCCCAGGGTATTGTTTTTGACTGCCTTCTCCTGTGCCATCTGCATGCTGAAAATGTTCAAATCTGTTACCTCCAACCCTCAATCTCTGAACTCCAAACAGAGTGAATGGCTACAGGACATCATCATCCAGAAGCCAGCTCAAACTCTTAAGCTGACCACTGAACCAACTCACTGTCTTCCTGAAATTGGTTCCTCTTCCTGCATTTCCAAACTCAAGTGACCTGAACCACTATCTACTTAGTGATAAATGGTATCTCAACCACCTCCTGGTTCCTCTTCTTACTCACCCAACATCTAAACAATCCTTCATTCTGTCTAATATTTTTCAAATCTTTTCCCTTCTCTCTATCGCTTTTACTTCAGATCTACATCATCTCCATGGTTAACAGAAAGTCTGCAACTACTTTCCTTGACCTTAGTTTTACTCCATTCCAAACCTTGCCCCCACTGGCGCCCTGATTACCTTTTTATGTCTACGGCCATACCACTCTGAACGCACCCGATCTCGTCTGATTACCTTTCTAAAATAAAAATAACACTCCTTGCTCTAAACTTCAGGAGATGTTCTTTTGGTCTTCCTGACCCTAAACGCAAGCTGTGTACTATGTCCCAGCTACACCAAACAACTCAGCATTAGCAATACTATGTTAACATCTGGAGAAAGCTGACAGATTTAATGCATGCATTTACTACTGTTCTCTGTCAAGAACCACTGAAAGAAACTAGGAGGATGTGCCTTAAAGACCTATAACCATAAGTACAAAGACAGCATAAGAAAAATAAAAGCTGGAAAGACAAGTGGTAACTGACTTAGCAAACTTGGAAAACCAAGGAAAGCCAAAGCTCGAAGCCAGCAGTAAAGTAGCGGCAAGAAGCAGCCTGATTTACATTACAGAAACACCAAAAGACTCAAAAACTGGTAGTGCGAGGTACTTTGGTTTGGGAAGGGGGAGGTTAAAGGTCAGGTACGAAAACTAAGAGGGCCTCCAGAAAGTGTTCACAAAGCAGTTTGATGCCAAGATTTCATGCAAGTCCACAAACAAACCAGTGGCCCTGTTAGATCCTCTGATAAGATAAAGCAAATGTTCTCAAGACAGTGAGACAGGGAGACACCAGGTAATCAAAAGGAGCGATACTATATGAGAACAGGGAGCTGTAAACATGCAAGATGCAGGAAACTGAAAGATTTTTTTTTACTGAGGAAAGACCTCAAAAAATGTGGATCATTCCCTACAAAACAACCCAGGTAGATTATATCCTAGAGGAAAAATTCACAATTAGTAAGTTTCCCATACATTTTCAACCCTCACAATCAGCTTTTTAGTGCCCTAAATTTATATAGACGAAACGCTGATGATTCTTAAAGCTGGGTGATAGTTCCCTAAGGATGACTGATTATACTGTTCTTCCTTTTTCTGTGTACGCTTCAAATTCTTCGCAGGTTAAAAAAATTATAATAATAACAAAAGCAGGTGGTCAAGGATCAAAGGATGATCTCTTTAGTCAGAGACTACTAGTCTGGGTTCCCAGAATATAAAAAATGAAATGAAAACAAAAACATACAAATACACTGTTTCCCTGTTAAGTTTGAAAAGCTCAAGGATGGCAGTGTTATCTACAAAATGCAACTTAACAATAACCCTTAGTATAATCTCATATGACCGAAAAACACATTTTAAGCTACAGTCTCAACTTTAATATTAAGCGTTGTATGCCTTCTTCAAGAAGGGTGGATGACCACTTGGCTGGAAACCTGCACCTTTGGCCTAAACAAAAACACAGGGTACAGAACAGTCATGATTAAAGGAAAAGGCCCTACACTATACTCTATAAACATTACCTGCAGGTTACTCTGGCTTCCTAACACTTCCTGAGGTGACATTGCCTAAGGAGACAAAAGAAGCTGGTTTTTTTCACACCTCGGTCACAAAACTCTCAAACTGAATCTAAAAACACATTTTGGCAGAGATATAATGCAAAAAATGTGGGATCACTCTTCGTTCCGTTACTTATGAGAGCAGTAACCTTATCCTAGCCTTTGTATCCTACTCTGTAAAAGGGATGTAATCGTCACAGAAGATCACAAGAATTAAATGGTAGATAAGAAGAGATGCTACATGAGACAGTTATTAAAAAGAAAGTGCTTTAAAAAATTTTTTGTATCACTATTCATCTATCGGAAACTGCCTTATGTAGGAATTTATAACTGTAAAACTCACCCATAAATATTCAAAAAAAGTGTTAGGGTGCCTGAGAAAGGTTTTTTAAAAACTAATGTTAAAATGGTTTTTTTTGTTTGTTTGTTTGTTTTTTAAAGATTTTATTTATTTATTTGACAGAGAGAGACAGCGAGAGAGGGAACACAAGCAGGGGGAGTGGGAGAGGGAGAAGCAGGCTTCCCGCTGAGCAGGGAGCCCGATGCGGGGCTCGATCCCAGGACCCTGGGATCATGACCTGAGCTGAAGGCAGCCGCTTAACCGACTGAGCCACCCAGGGGCCCCTAAAATGTTTTTTCCCCAATTTTTAACTTACTAGAAAATTGCCAAGTAGTAACTACTAACTTAGCGATCTCCCCATTGGAAAATCTATCATACTTTGGGGCAAGGCCAATAAAAATCACTTGAGCACACCTGGATCCAGATATTCTCAGACTTGGCATTAAGTTCTTCCCTCTCTATCCTCTCACCATCAGAATATAATTCACTATACCCATTCAAATGACACCTACACAGTCTGAAATTTTAGATCTTTCTCTACCCTCTGCACAACCTCGACACCTCAAAGTCAAGATGTCCAAAATCATATTCACTCCTTCCTTCAAAATTAAGTCACCTGTTTCCCTACCTTCTCAACTGATGAAAGGGAAAATTTTTATTTTAAATCACAAAAAAGGAGTGAAAGTGGAGAGTAAATTTATGCAAAAAAGCCCTGAATACCAAGGAAAGTGCATGGAAAGTACAATGGACTGCACAAATCATGAGTCTATCCCCACGGGAGACTGCTACATCCATGAAAGAAAACATCTTTAAAACCATGAGAGACTCTTAACTATAGATAACAAACTTCAGGATGCTGAAGGGGATGGGGTAACTGGGTGACGGGAATTAAGGAGGGCACGTGATGTCACGAGCACTGGGTATTATATGCAACTGATGAATCACTGAACATCCGAAACTAATGATGTACTATATGTTGGCTAGCTGAATTTAAATTAAAAAAAAAAAAGTAGAGAGTATTTTCCAGATGTCAAAAAAAGTCCAAAGTCAACACACAGAAGTAGTTTTTAAAACTGTTTAGATCACACATGAAAAAGACATAAAGTGAGAGGCCTTTCACTACATTAAAATAAACCACAGGCAAACAATGAATAATTTTTAAAAAGAAAAAAAAAGAAAAAAAAAAAAAAAGCCAGAAACCCTAGAATCTTAAGTACAGAGAACTGGTGGTTGCCAGAGGGGAGGTGAGTAAGAAGACTGGTGAAATATAAAAAAGGGATTAAGAGGCACAAACTTCCATTTTTTTAAAAAAAAATAGGTCCCAGAGATGAGAAGTAGACCATAGGGAATATAGTCAGTAATACTGTAATAAAAGTGTACAGTGACAGGTGGTAACCACCCTTACTGTGTGAGCACTGGGTAATGTATAGGACTGTCAAACCACTATGTTGTACACCTGAAACTAACACTGCATGTTAATCAGACTTCAATTAAATATATATATATATTAAATTAAGAAACTGGGAAGTAACTTACCTGAACAAGATGAATAAGTGTTGTCAGAATAGCACATCTCAACATATTGTGCTCTTCACTCTGCTTCCAAAGAAGAGGCAAATACTGTACCAGACATCCTACATATGGTCGTATCTATCACAACAGAAGTAGGGGAAGCAAAAGAACTGTATTAGGAAAGAAGGCAATTTCCTTCAAGAAACAATGACACAACACTATTAAGTCCCAGGCAGGAAATACTTAATATTTACTAAATGAAAGGTATTATGCATATATCTTTTTAAAGATAAATCAGATATTACACAGAGACATACAGTTCTATGGTAAATATTTTTAAAGAATTTTTAAAAAGTACCAGATTTACTGCATGAATTAAAATTTAGGAAAACAACATAACACAGCCAGTTATCTATAGTTTAAAAGAAAATGCTGCCATATCCTGGATCTTTTTTTAATAAAACAGCTTACCTAACTAGCAATAACACTGTTTTAGAACATTGGGCTCCCTGCTCTGCGGGGAGCCTGCTTCTCCCTCTCCCCCACTCTCCCCGCTGTGTTCCCTCTCTCGCTGGTCTCTATCAAATAAATAAATAAAATCTTTAAAAAAAATAAAAATTTAAAAATTAAAAAAAAAAAGAAGAGGAGAAGTCTAATATTTTGGGGTGAAGTGCCATGAGACTTGAAACTAAAATTCAAATGGTTCAACAATAATAATTTGTATATGCACATAGATTAAAAAAAGAGCAATATAGTAAAATGTTAGTAACTGATAAAACTAGATGAAGGATATATGGGTATTATTTACTGCTGAAATATGTCAACGAAATATATGTAAAAAAAAAAAATACTGCCTATACGTAATTCTGAAAATGGTTATACTCTATGGCTTTTTAGGGTAGGCCAGTATCAACTATTTGCTCAACATCTAATAAAACACATGGAATTAAGAACATTTTCTAGACATCAGGCTATAAAAGAAACTAAACTATCAGCTTAATACAAATGAGATGAAAAGTACACTACATGCACTCATCTTTTGGCACCTCCACTCAAAAAGAAAACAGAACAGAATGCAGGGGAATACTATGAGAAGTGCAGTCTTATGAGTTAGTTCATCACGTATAGTGAGGTATCCACTTTCCTTTGTTAACATGTTACTGAAAATGTGAAAATCAAGTACGTGAGAGTACGTGAGAGCCTAACAAATGTTTTAACAAGGGTTCCATCCAAAGGGGATTTAAAAAAGGAAGTACCCAATGACACCTCATGTTTTAGATCTAATTTTCACAGAATATTTAATATTTCACACAGGCCCTTTAATTTTGTCCTTTTCTTCAGAAATATTTAAGTTTAAAGAATGTCTGCCTGACACCCAAACCTGATGATCACCTATTTTTTCTATGTATTTATGGGATCGCTGCTATGGAATAATTTAATTTTAAGTTTTCAGCTACTTTTTCAAAAAGCAGAGAAAATGTGATTTTTAAGTAATTGCACATTAATAGTATTAAGATGGCAACTTCACTGAAACTTCACAATTAAACCATTATGTGTCATCTCACTGTTGTAAGATGGCTCAAACTATTATTTATTGACAAAAATGAAATTTAGCACACAAAAGATAGATCAATGATATATAAATGAGGGAGCTGTTCAAAGGTTAACATAGGAAAGCTCAACAATCAGACTACTGAAAATATTTTTCATAACCACTTCCTACCTGAGTTCTGAAAACAGAAAATGCTACTGGATAACTCTATCTCATTATTTACTGATGATAGAGTCATCTGAGTCGCTGAGGCTATTTGTGTTCTGAAAGGCAAATATGGATAAAAGGACAAAAGCACTTCTACATTTACTAAGTATGAGGAATTTCAACCTGGGATAAAAAGATTAAGAGATCTGGGAAGATGTAGGTAAGAAAATTCATTACCACAAAAAGAAATCTTTAATAAATTTCCATTAGCCAGATGATATCTAAATAAGATTATAAAAAATGGCCAAACCTTGTTTCTAAAATCAATTTTTATAAATGAACAACAATTTATTGTATTTGTATAATGATCTACAGCATACTGCACATTTATAATAATTTCATACTTAGGAAACCTTGTGAGTTCGGTGATTTCAGAATTATCTTTATTATTTTATACACAATGACACAAAGTTAAAGACCTTACCAAAACTAAATAGCAGAGACAGGCACTTGAAATGAGTTTTAGAGCTTCAATTAACTATCTGTGTGATCAAAATCTCTCAATATTCTTTATAAGCCAATACCAAAATGAAATAATGTAACTAATGTAAGAAGAATCCCAGGTGCTAAGAAAATTGTAAGATAATACTATTTTTAAACACTCGGACCTGTATCTGCTGCAAGTGATTAACAGAGACTCAAAACTTCTCCTGGACTTGCATGGTGACTGCATCGGTAATACCACTAAGATGTATGTACTTTAACAAATTCCTTAAAATCTCCAACTATTTGAGATAATAAATTCCAATCCTCACCCAAAGGTTTCTGTGAGGATTAAATGAGAAATATATGAAAATGACTCAGCACAGACATTTTTAACTTGTCCTTATCCAGTAACTGACAGCAAGTCTCATCAGTTGCTTTAGAATTGAAAAACAAGCTCAAGGTATCAGAATTCACTAAAAGATCCAGGAACACACTTCGAATCTGTGGATATGAACTCAGTTATCCTTCCCTAGTATCTCACAGATTTACTTCAGTACTTTTCAAACAAGGATATGCAGTGGTGAACTAGGATATGAGAAATTACTAGGATAATTAGAGGGAAGATTCTTGGATTATCAATTTTTCACACAAATTAGAGGAGAGACAGAGAAGCTGAATAATTTAACAGTTTAATAATATACCTGTTGAAAACTTTACATAATCTTTTTTATATTAAACTAAACATGTACATAATGCAGACCAAACTGTAAAACACATTTAATTTTGAAGGTAAAAATTGACCTCTGAGAATATTTGCATCTGCTGATACACGTGTGGTTATGTCCTCAAACACAATGAATTTTAAGAAGTTTTATTAAGTATAAACTGGATTTACTAAGAGATATAAAATTCTGCACTCTAAACACCTTCATATTACTGATCCCATTTTTAAATTTTAGATTTTAACTTTCTCAAGTCATTTTTTGAAAACTCAAGTACATGTCAATATAACCGAAACCACAACCATATAGGTTATAAGCATTTTAATGCATATTTTAACTTTTAAATAATGTACATAAAGCAAAAACATCAATGCATTCTACACATACTCTACTCACCTCTCTGACATTTATTTTAATGTTTTACAACAAATTTACCTGTATGTTGACTCTTTCAATCACACAAGAAAGGACATGCAAAACATGCATCTTTGTGTCACATTCTGTAACTTGCTGCAGTAGCTGAAAAAGTAGTGTGAACATGGTTTCCAAATACTGCAGGGAAAGAGAAATAAAAGGGGGGTCAGAATAGAAATAGAAATATCTTCACAAACAGAATTAAGAAAATTAAATCAAAATCTCAAAGCAATAAACAGCAATCAACCAAAACCTCAGCATTACCTAAATAACTTCAAATTGTTCAAGTTGCCAGTATTTAGGACGGTGATTCTTTTTTATTATTGCTCAATGGGTCCATTTGAGAATTTAATTCATCCACAAACACAATAATGTTTTCAGAGGAAAACTGTGTCTCAACTTTGTGTTTACACTTTATACCGCTAACTAAACTGCGAATAGTGTCTCTCTTGTCTTTGCCCTTCCATATATGCCTATTGCCAATCACAGAATGTTTTGTTTTGCAAATTCTACTTGTTAAAGCAAAAGGAGTATCAATAACTATACTCGCATACCAGCTCTCTGATGTGGCCCTTAACATATGCTGCATGGAGATATCAATTTCTGTACATATATGTTACTCAAGGAATGACACGATATTATTAGGAATTAGAAAACAAGTATCCCATGTCTGGCTATTGACTCTTTCCTATGTTACAAAATTACAGTAGGAATTAACAAATCACAGGATGCCAGATACTTACATAAAACAAACATGTGACCTTCCAGATAGTTTACTTACTTTTAGGAAGATTTCGAAAACATATTTATTTCATCCAAAAATACCTAATGATTCTTTTACTAATGAAAAACCTGGCTCTATAAGCTTCTCCATGTATGACCTACACAAGAAGTACAGATAGACATTTTATCATATTAACTTTCTTCTTGCCCAGTTTTGTTTTTTTTTTTTTTTTAAGAGAGAGAAAGAGAGAGGAGAAGCAGAGGGAGAGAGAATCTTAAGCAGGCTCTATGCCCACCGAGGAGGCCGACTCCAGGCTTGATCTCACCACCCTGAGATCACAACCGGGGTGGAAACAAAAGTTGGATGCTTAACCAACTGAGCCACCCAGAGGCCCCTGCAAAGTCTTCTTAAGAATCAGTACTACCGGGGCGCCTGAGTGGCTCACAACAAACAGATGAGGATAACCTAAGGAGTAAAAGTAACAGACACAGATAAAATGCAACTAAATGTTTTATAATTGTGAAAAAGAAAAAAGTTTATCAACCCCCAAACAGTTAAGATAGCTAAACAAAAATAAGCAGAATAAAAATAAAGCTATGAATCAAAATTACCAATACAATTACTTCCAAAATAATCCAATATACTTTTAAATTTGGCTTTAATCAATAACAGATACATATAATTTCAGTTATAAAATAACACTTAATATTCAAAGGACATAAGCAGAAATTGTTATCAATCTTAAAAATAAATATTCTTACCGGTAGAAACTGATCAGTTCTAAATTCAAAATCATCAACAGGTAAAGAGTAGTTAAGGAATACTGAGAATATATGAGATATATCCAAATAAAATATGTCTAAAAACCAAATAAATAAGCCATTCAAAAACTACATTTTAAACTAACAAATTTTACAAAAAAATTAACAATTTAAATGTGTTGTTAAAATTCTTCACAATGAAGTATTTTTTTAAAAAAAGATTTTATTTATTTATTTGAGAGAAAGCACAAGTAGGGGGAGGGGCAGAGGGAGAGGGAGACAAATAGACTCCCGGCTGAGCAGGGAACCCAATGCGGGGCTCCATCCCAGGACCTTGGGATCATGACCCGAGCTGAAGGCAGATACTTAACTGAGTGAGCCACTGAGGCACTCATGAAGTATATTTTTTTAAGACTCTATTTTTAAGTAATCTCCACAGCCAATATGGGGCTCGAATTCACAACCCCAAGATCAAGAGTCGCGTGCTCTACCGACTGAGTCAGCCAGGTGCCCCATCACAAAGCAGTATTTTTAAATTCTTTAAAGGATATTTAACTTCAGTGTTGTAGCTGTTTCAATACGGACCTAAAAAAAAAGTACATTATTAGTTTTTAATAATTCTAGAGCTACTAAATATCATTAATATCAAATGGCAAAAGAATTTATTCCAAATCACTTTCTTTACTCTTTTTGTTAATATTTTAAGCCACAGAGCAAATTATCATCTGGAAATAAAAGAATATTCCTCTTACAAAGAGTTGAAAAGAAAAAGTAAAAAGTCCCATCTTTCTCAGTTCCCCATAATTTATTTCAGGAGACTTTAATCCAGGGGGTGCTTCCAGGAAAAAAATAATTTGCCATAAGTGTGTAGAGGGGGTGGGACTGAGAGAACAGTACAAAGGGGTTGCCACAGGGAAAGAGAAGGTTGAGATCAGGGAGGACAGACAGGCAAATGGGCTGGGGCCGGTGAAGCTGGAAGATGTTCAGTGTGAAGAGTGAGGGAGGAGAAAAGTAGTAAGAGGAGGGAAGAAGAGGAGGAAGAACACACATTCCCATCTGCCACCTCCATTACAGGAAATCCTTTAACTATCCAAAGATATATTCCAAGATTTTCTAAATCCCAAAGTTCACAAATACACAAAGATTTGTACAAGTTCCTGACCTTCCCAAATCTTATTTTCTTCGTTTATCAGCATGTTCCCTGGGCAAATCACATCAGGACATCTCAATCTCCCCATTATTTTCTTTCAAGTGTTACCTGTGATTTGGTCAACTCAACTCGCACAGGCTACCATACCCAGAGTTTCCACGAAAAGTAACATGAACTCAAGCCATGACTGAATTCTATATTCTACTCCGTAAAACAATATACCTAAAACATTCCTTTCCCAGCTGAGAGTCATTATTTTCTTAGATGCTACACTTACTGTACCTGAAATAGCAACTGGCTTTTTCTCGGCAGCCATTTTTCAAAGAAACAGTTTTAACCATTTTACAGGAGCTTCTGAAGTTCTGAGAGGCTGATCAGGCATGTTCACCAAATGTTAAGCACTCTACTGTCAAATCCACAGATCCAAGAGCCTACAGTGCAGATGTTTTCTTGCCTGCCTTTACTTTTTATTCACTATCTCTAAAGGCAATGTGAACATTTTCAGACTTTTAAATGATGTAATAAATTTGCTGATTGTCTAATACATGCAAAGCACCATGCCAAGCTGTCTACCACGAAATGACCTAATGAAAACAAGGTGTACTTGTGTGATTAAAACTATTCAATAAGGAACTATTATCTCCCAGGCAATGTTGGATGCTGCAGAAAAAAGCTTTAAGAAAGATCTAGTCTTTGCCCTCAGAGAACTTACATTCTTGAAGGGTACCAGACACCCAGATATTAAATAATTATCAATAAAAATGTCAAACTTGGGCGCCTGGGTGGCTCAGTTGGTTAAGCGACTGCCTTCGGCTCGGGTCATGATCCTGGAGTCCCTGGATCGAGTCCCGCATCGGGCTCCCTGCTCAGCAGGGAGTCCGCTTCTCCCTCTGACCCTCCCGACCCTCCCCCCTCTCATGCTCTCTCTCTGTCTCTCTCTCTCAAATGAATAAATAAAGTCTTTTAAAAAATAAATAAATAAAATAAATAAATAAATAAATAAATAAATAAATAAATAAATAAATAAAAATGTCAACTTGAAAAGCTTAAGAACAGGATAATCCCCTTGAGGACATGGACTGGCTGGTCATCTTTAAATTGTCATCATTTAGGGGCACCTGGGTGGCTCAGTCGTTGAGCGTCTGCCTTCGGCTCAGGTCATGATCCCAGGGTCCTGGGATCGAGCCCCGCATCGGGGAGAACCTGCTTCTCCCTCTCCCTCTGCCCTTCCCTCTGCTTGTGTTCCCTCTCTCGCTGTGCCTCTGTCAAATAAATAAAATCTTTTAAAAAATTAAGTAAAAAAATAAATTATCATCATCTAGTACAGTGGGAGGCATACAGCCGGCACTGTGTAAATAATTAAATTCACAAACAACAGGACATAAAACCCCCCAAAAAGAAAAATGGCAATCAAACTGCCAGCACTCTAACCTTTAATTCTCTTGATTTTTTTTCCACAAAAGGACCACAGATGCTAACTCATACCCGACATCTACACAAGTACAGGAACCAAAAGAGGCATCGGAATAAAAACTAGCTGTGTTTTCCTACCTAACAAAGGGAAGTCAGTGTAGTATTACATTGAGAGGAAGAGATGAAATGGTATGAGATGACTTGTCTGCACTCTAGTTTAACTCCAAAAACAGGAAGCCAAATTAGGAGGGAAAACAAAAAGCCCACAAAGTTTAAGAAAACAGAGGCACATTTAAAATATGACAAAAATAAGAACAAAATTAGCTATTCCTGAGCTATAAAAGAAAGAGGAAGTAATTACCACAGAGACAGTATGAATTTCACAGTGATTCATAAGTAATGGGGAAAAAGTCAAAACCCAAATTTATAGGATAAAGAGCTAGGGAATGTGATAGAAGTAGAAGAGATCTAACAATTCCTAGGACACTAATTGTTCAATAAATACTTGCTAGTAAATGCAAGAAAAGAAAAGAAAAACAAAGTATTCTAAACATGACTTTTCATAGAATAAATCCCTCCGAAGGAGAATTAAATCCCAAGTATCCAGAAATGGATCCAGACTGCGTGAACTCAGCCTACGAGTCTATCCTAACTCCCGCTGAAATCTCAGAAAACTCCTGAAAATTTAACAAGCTAATTCCTTTACTGGGGCAAAGAAGTACCATCAAAGTATAAGAAACATTGGAGGGATCCAAGAAAGCATGAGAGCAAAGGAGAAATGAAGGAGAAGACACCAGAGGTCAGCCCTACTGCCAAAGAGGATTGCTATAAAAGAAAAAATAATCAGATACATACCCTGCTTCAGTGACAGTGACCCTTGGAAGAACTGTCAAAATGACTAATCTGAATTCCACACTTGAACTAGCTCAATGCCTCACCGCTTCCACAGCCTGCCCGTAACAGTAAAGGCCATTCACACGCTAAAACAGCCTGGTGCACGGACCAGAAAGAAATGGCAGTGTCTCAGGGACTGAAGACCACCAGGAAAATGTAAATAAAGTTAAGAGGAAAGAATAAAGTAATATGCTAAAGAGAAACAGAATAATGACTTTATAACATAACTATTTAAGAGAGCCCTCCTCATTCCTGGATCCTCTTTATCCCAATCTCCCAATTCTTTCAATAAACATTATTTAAGGCTTGACTCCATGCTAGGCATAATGGATACTAACATAAGTAATATTACCCTACACATTTGTACTATTACTACTTGCTACTAGTATGCTGATTTTTTTGCTCTCCTCCACCATAAAGTCAAGATCATTCGATTACACTATTTGATGTATTTCTCCTGAAATACATGTGTAAAGTAAGTTTCCTGAAAGGATAAAATCATGTTCAATTTATTCATCTCCTTTTAAGAAAAAAATTCTAAAGCTCATTTTACTTTAAAAAATTGAGATATAACTGACACAACATTGTATTAATTTCAGGTTAAAGCTCATTTTCATATATTCTAAGCACCAGACATACCAGTGTAAAACTAAAACTGACTACAGGAAACTTACTCAAGTTTCCTTTCTTCTGGTTTTAGAGTGGCCTAATAATCTGATGTCTCAAACACAGATTTTTGTTGATATTTCCTTTGGAAATTATATTTACTGAATGTAACTGAAAATTCATTCTGTGAAGAAACAGACTACCCCCAGAGTTTAAAATCTATAGCAGTGTTTTTGAGACACAAATAATGGACAAACAAAAAAACAAAATCAAAATGGTAAGACAGAATGAGTGGCAGAAATGGGAGAACCATTAAAGCCGCAAGAATGGAAAAAATTTCAATGCACCCTTAAAATACATCTGCCCGATCCCAGCTGTACCTCCCACTGTACACTCAGGGTTTGCTGCAGTTCTGTACATGCCACTAAAAGTCTGTTCTTAACACCATTAACTGCCTTTCCCTCTTGAAAATTTGCTGTTTCTACAGTGGTAGTCAGCCTGCCCATAAAAATGTCCATTTCTTTGCTTGAGAGACAACCCCACCACCTTACTTCCAAACTATAAATATTCTGGTTGCACCCAAATTCACATTTCATATAGCCTTTTATAAGGGTGAAAGAGTATGCCAATGCTAATTTTTTAGTAGCTTACTGCTCGTGGTATTGAAGGCTACATAAATAACTGAAGTTAAACTTGCAAAAAAAAATCTGTAATTTCCAAAATTTAAAGACATAACTGGCTCAAAGGCCTTATAAATCAAAAAAGCCTAGTATATTAATCAAATATTCTGGTTAGTAATCATCTGGGGTAGTACAAAAAGAAGGTTCTCCTCACCTAAAATTCAGTCACTCTAATTCACTATAGTGAATAGCACTACAGTAATAGCATAGTGTATAGCACTGTTGTCCTTATAAAAAAAAACAACAAAAATGGAACCACAGTTCTATCACATTCAAAAATAAATTCTAGATAAAGAACCAAGGGTAAAGAAAGGGATTAAACAATGAACAAAAAGAACAAAAGAAAAATCTGATTGCACTAAAATTAAAAACCTTTGCTCAATAAAAACACAACAGAATGAGAGTGGAAAGATAGCGATTCAACTGTATTTGGAAGGCTTTACTTCCTCAATATTTGAAATATTTACGGAAAATTATTACAATGAAAATATGGACACTGGGGAGCGAGCATATAGGTGCTTGTTGTCTAAGTCACTGAATTTTTCCTTTTCTTTGATATAATTCTTTTTTTTTTTTTAAAGACTTTATTTATTTGACAGAGAGAGAAGAGACACAGCGAGAGAGGGAACACAAACAGGGGGAGTGGGAGAGGGAGAAGCAGGCTTCCCACCGAGCAGGGAGCCCGATGTGGGACTCGATCCCAGGACCCTGGGATCATAACCTGAGCCAAAGGCAGACGCTTAACAGCTGAGCCACCCAGGCGCCCCTGGCCTCTGGTATTCTAAGATTTATGGGGCCCTAAACTATCTGAAGAAGTTGCTTTCTCCAGTTGCTGCACTATTTCTACTCTGTCATAGCCAGTCTTAAAAATAATATGGCCATAAGATTTGGAAGCCACACAACCACAGTTGTTCAAGATTAAATCTATCCCAACACCGAAACAGCAATACTCAAGCAAGAGAATATAGATTATGAAAGCCAGAGAACATTCTGATCCATTAATATCTATCTACCTACCTACCTATCCACACATGCATGTGTACATGTATGTATATATGTCTGTATGTTTGTACCCTACTGCCTACGTATGTATGTGTCTGAAGTATCTTCCGTCATTAGCCAGCATTTCTCACAAGTTGAAATAAAAGTAGTATATCCTATATATATCAAAAGGCCAAAGTGTGCAACATTAACTTGGTACCTTACTAAACACAGTCTTTTGTTTGTTTATTTATTTTAAAGCTGAGAATTTTTTTTTTTGATGTAGTGTTCCATGATTCATTGTTTGCATATAACACTCAGTGCTCCATTCAGTACGTGCCCTCCTTAATATCCATCACCAGGCTAACCCATGCCCCCACCCCCCTCCCCTCTACAACCCTCAGTTTGTTTCTCAGAGTCCACAGTCTCTCATGGTTCATCTCCCCCTCCGATTCCCCCCTTCATTTTTCCTTTCCTACTATCTTTTTTTTTTTTTTAACATAAAATGTATTATTTGTTTCAGAGGTACAGGTCTGTAATTCATCAGTCTTACACAATTCACAGTGCTCACCATAGGACATACCCTCCCCAATGTCTATCACCCAGCCACCCCATCCCTGCCATCCTCCACCACTCCAGCAACCCTCAGTTTGTTTCCTGAGATTAAGAATTCCTCATATCAGTGAGATCATATGATACATGTCTTTCTCTGACTGACTTATTCCGCTTAGCATAATACCCTCTAGTACCATCCATGTCATTGCAAATGGCAAGATTTCGGTTTTTTGATGGCTGCATAATATTCCATTGTATATATATACACCACATCTTCTTCATCCATTCATCTGTTGATGGACATCTTGGCTCTTTCCACAGTTTGGTCATTCTGGACACTGCTGCGATAAACAATGGGGTGCACATACCCCTTAGGATCCCTACATTTGTATCTTTGGGGTAAATACCCAGGAGCGCAATTGCTGGGTCGTAGGGTAGCTCTATTTTCAACTTTCTGAGGAACCTCCATACTGTTTTCCAGAGTGGCTGCACCAGCTTGCATTCCCACCGACAGTCTTACTAAACACAGTCTTAAGAAGTAATAACAAGGACAGGGGGGAAAGATGGCGGAGAAGTAGGGGACCAGATTTCAACTGGTCCCCGGAATTGAGCTGGATAACCAGCAGACCACTCTGAGCACCCACGAAACCAGCCTGAGATATAAGAAGATCTGGATCTCTACAAAGAGAATATCACAGGCGGTTGGTTTTGAGGTTCGAAGTGGGGAGCCGTGATTCCGCGGACAGATATCGGAGGATAAACGGCAGCGGGAGGGTGCCTGGCTGTGGGGATCCTACACCGCCGGTGAGCGACAGCCTAGCTCGCTGGGGACGGGCACAGACTCGCAGACCAGTAGCAGCGGGGAAAGGACTTTAGGGCAGCCCCCGGGGCAGACACCCGGAGCAACTGGGGTCATGCAGGCGAACTGCATCAAAATCCTAGACAGAACATAGGCAGTAACCTCTTTGACACTGCCCACAGCAACTTCTTTCAAGATACATCTCCAAAAGCTAGTGAAACAAAAGCAAAAATGAACTTTTGGGACTTCATCAAGATAAAAAGCTTCTGCACAGCAAAGGAAACAGTCAACAAAACAAAGAGGCAACCCACAGAATGGGAGAAGATATTTGCAAATGACATTACAGATAAAGGGCTGATATCCAAGATCTATAAAGAACTTCTCAAACTCAACACCCAAAAAACAAATAATCAAGTCAAAAAATGGGCAGAAGATATGAAGAGACACTTCTCTGAAGAAGACATACAAATGGCTAACAGACACATGAAAAAATGTTCATCATCATTAGCCATCAGGGAAATCCAAATCAAAACCACATTGACATACCACCTTACACAAGTTAGAATGGCCAAAATGGACAGGGAAAGAAACAACAAATGTTGGAGAGGTTGTGGAGAAAGGGGAACCCTCTTACACTGTTGGTGGGAATGCAAGTTGGTACAGCCACTTTGGAAAACAGTGTGGAGGTTCCTCAAAAATTTAAAAATAGAGCTACCCTATGACCCAGCAATTGCACTACTGGGTATTTACCCCAAAGACACAGATGTAGTGAAAAGAAGGGCCATAAAAGGGCTATAAAAGGATCTTAAAACACTGTCTTCTTTTATTCTCACTAAAAAATTATATATTCACTGAATATTAAGAGTAGTTTATGTTATCATGGTACACATGTGAAAACAAGAAAAGTATGGCCCAAGCCTTTGCTGAAAAACAGGGTTATCGGATGCGTTCAAAAATGTTTTAAAAGGAGTATACCAAGAAATGATTAAACAAGAAATTAGCCTAATTCGGGGGGCGGGGGGGGTTGAGAAATCACTTAATTTTATGTAAAAATAATTTGAAACTCAGGAAAAGACAACTAAACTCAATCTTTTCAAGACTATGCTGGAATCAGATCTAAGCCCAGGACAAAGAAAATGTATAGTAAGTCATGAATATATTCACTCGAGCATAAAATAAAGCACCCCGGGGCGGGGGGGGGGGGGGGGAGGAAACTATTCTACACCATGTGGAACTTCTTAAAAAACAAACAAATAAAAACAACTCTTTAAGTAACTGACCTAAATATTACAGCAGCAAACATACTTCTTTTAAGGGAATAAAGCAACAAAGAAGCCATTATCAAGTTTTCAGTAACAAAAAAAAATCAAGAATAATATATCAACACTATAAATAAAAAGTCTGAAAGGAAACAATTCTAAAGGCTAAAAAAAACACAAATACACACCAAAAAACCCTCCAAAAATGAGAGACAAAGAATCAACAACAGTAAGGATGAAAGTGATTATGGTATAACCCCAAATGTGAGAACATAAAATCTATCCTGAATTAAGGAAAAAAAACCAAGAAGGCTATAAAAGGATCTTAAAACACTGTCTTCTTTTATTCTCACTAAAAAATTATAAATTTTAGAAAGGTAGAGTTTATTTTTTTCACTGATTACTGATGGGAAGGGCAAATAATAATCAAAGGACTTCCTTCCTTCGAATCAAACTGTTCACACCAAGGAACAGCTACAACAGTGAAAGGCCACCAACGTTTTGAAGATATAAAAACCATGTCTGAATTTGAAGTTTAACATAGGTTAAACTCATTAAAAAAAAAAGTCTTAAAACACTGAAGGAACATACCACTAAGTCTTGATCTTGAAGCAAATTACAAATTGCCTCATATAACATGGGTCTTAAGTCAGACTTGAATTTCACAGAAATCCACTGACCGATGAGCCAAATCACCCTGCGTCGCAATGGCTTATACCTGGATAAGGAAAAATCATGAAATTTAAATGATAAATATTTTACAAAGCCTATTTCATTTAGTATATTTCATCATTTAAATTTTAAATATAGTAAAGAAGCAATCTGTATTTTTTATATAAAAGCATAAAAGCTACTTCTAAACATACCACAGTATAAATACTAACAATAAAAGTTCTGATCTACAAAAATTGAAAATTCGTAGGCAGATATATTGCAAATCTAATTACTTTAAAGAACTGTAACATAAATATGTACATAAAAACAAGTCCACTTCTGTTTCTCAAGTAACCAAAAACAGTTAATCTGAAAAGGCATAAGTAGCTAATGTCCCAAACCTAAGGCTGAAGAGGCCCTAAAAAAGTAGTAATAAAGGAATTCCTGTATTCAATTTTCTAAATCCAATTGTTTATCTTACAAAGATTGTTTTTCAGAACACTGTGAGAGATTTCTACATTTACATAAAATACTCAGTAAATAATAAATAATAAATAAAATACTCAGGTTTCTACACTGATTTTAGGTAAATTCTCTAATTTTTTAAGAAGTGCCCTATTACAGAATGTGACTCATATTATCAAAATAATGATTTACTTTTTAAAAGCTGTAAAACATTTGCAGTAGCAGGTATACACATTTCTTTATGATCATCTTTGCTACAGGCAATGAAGTTTCTTTAGGCAAGGAGAAAAACCATAAAGCTATAAACAACTATGTATAAGAATTCCACCCACAAAGTCTCTTCTTGATACTATATAAATTTTAGTAGTGAGATGATAATTGTTTCAGGGTATAAATGGAATATGCTAATGAATATGTCACATATTTTAGGAAATTACAAAATTATAAGATGATCAAGCATACAGAAAGAATTGCTCATTAAAGATGCAAAAAAAAATGTGTTTAAGTACTCCCTGCCCTCAAAAAGTTTATCTCACCGAAAATAATTAAAGAATGCAAAGTTATATAATAGGATTTCAGAAAAGGGATAGAAAAGAGTGGGTACGAAGAAATGGGATTTGAACAGCCTTTAAGATAAACAGTATTTTGGGCAGAAAACTGAAAAAATACCATTTCAAGGAACAGGGACTGTTTAAACAAAGTCACAGAGGTGGAAGTAAACAAGACTTGTGTACACAGTGTAGTGGAGAACCCACAGAACTATCAGTTCTGAACCGAGATCTTGGAAATTGCTATATTCAACATTCCACTCCAGATAAAGAGAACGAAGCTCAGAAAGGTCAAATCTTAAATTCACTTAAATCACAGTCACTTCTAAAATTGGAGGATAGTTTGTTCCTCAAAATATGCTCCCTGGACCAGCAGCATCATCATCCTGGAAGCATGATGAAATCACACAGTCTGACCCAGACCCTAACACATAACCTAAATCAGAACGTGTATCTTAACAAGATCGCCAACAGATTCAGATGCACATTAAACTTTGAGAAATACTGGTCTAGATCAGCTTGGTCCAGAAGAAATGTAATGCAAGCCAAATATGCAATTTTAAATCTGTTAGCACCCACATTAAAATAAATAAAAAGCAGGTGAAATTTTAACATTTTTATTTAACTCAGTATATGCAAAATATTATCATTTCACAACATGGAATCAATACATATTTTACACTCTTCAGTTTTTCAATTTAAATTTTAGTTAATTAAAATTAAAGTCATTTCCTCAGTTGCATTAGGTACAATTCAAGCACTCAACAGCCATATATAGCAGCTACTGTACTGGACAACACAGATCGAGAGTAAATAGCCTCCAGGGTTTAAGGACAATCAAACCACACAGTGTGTTCCCACTAAAGGCACATGTAGCTACCTAATGAAGGTTTTCTCTACATCAAAGGCTCTCTAGCTTACTGTTGGCAGAGTCACAGTCCATCTTACCACAGACTTTATAGGACATGGCAAATTCACAGTCACTGAAAATATTCACTGACTGAATAGGTAAGTAGCTATTTACTAGTCAAAAATATTTTTTCGGGTTTTTTTTTTTAATTTCAAGTTTTTATTTAAATTCTACTCAGTTAACATATAGTGTGATATTGGTTTTGGAGGGGTCAAAATTACTTTTAAATCATCTCCAACTCTACAATTCCCCAGCTCTCAAGGTTTATATAGAAGCCTTCTAGTCATTCATTAACGCAGTCAAAAAAATGTTACCTGATCTATGACTACATGCTAGGCATTCTGATAGACACCAGATCTACAGAAATAAATCAACAGAAATGCACAATTCAAAACAAGAACAAAGTCTCTTGGAATTTTTAAGTCTCTAATTCTAAACTAAGAAAAAAATTATAAAAACTCTGAAAGACCTTTACCCTTCCGTTTCATCCGTTCAGTACCTAAAATTAGTCAAGTGCCTAAAAGTATATGAAACATAAGAATTCTAAAAATCAGGTAGCTCTGTACTACTGAATGGGGCAACCCAATACAAGCCTAAAGTGCATCCAAATGCTTTCTGCCATGGTGTCTCTCCATCCTATCTACCCTCTCCCAGACTTGCAGTATGCTATGTGTGATCCCAAGGCATTCAGTCGGTCACCCTTCACAGTTACTATTTGTGTCTGACTACTACTTACACCAGGCCTAGCCCCGGCTAAGTCTCCAACTGGCTTTCTTGTGTACACAGTTTTTTTCTAGAATCCAGGTATCTCCATATTTCCCTTACCTTTGTATAAAATTTCCTCCTGCAAACTATCTTACCTAACATCAAATACTTCATAAATGTTACAAATCACAGTTAAAAGTAAAAAAACATAACCAACTTTATTTTTCAACTCTAAGAGACACAAGTCTTATTCTACACTAGATATGATCAGCTAACTCATACCATAACTTTTTAAAAATTTTAAGCAATTTTAATGCCTTCCTATCTTCATCACAAAATTAATAAGGTAAATTAAGTGTATTATTAACACAAAGTTTCATACTTGCCTATTATGAATGACTTGTAATTCTGGAAGAAGTTGGTTTTTAAACCACTGATCAAAATCAACACTGTCAAACAGCTCATAAGCCGCTAATCCAACAGCATTATACACTACAAAGAAGATTTGAGAAAAAAAATTTTAATTTCAGATGCTAGGCCCAATGTTAAGTGTCTTATATAAGAAACTAATCCTTAGGGATACTTTAAAACATGTAATATGCTCATAAAGGGAAATTTACAATGTTAATCAAAGACATTATTTAAACAGATATTGTAGATTCATTATTTAAGTTACTTTACACTGTTTTTCCTAAATACTCCTTAGTGCTTTCAAACAGAAAGCTACATCCATTTAAACATATTCAAGTCAAATTATAAAAATTATAAAATAAGGGCGCCTGGGTGGCTCAGTTGGTTAAGCAACTGCCTTCAGCTCAGGTCGTGATCCTGGAGTCCCAGGATTGAGTCCCACATCGGGCTCCCCACTCAGTGGGGAGTCTGCTTCTCCCTCTGACCCTCTCCCCTCTCATGCTCTCGCTCTCTCAAATAAATAAATAAAATCTTTAAAAAAAAAATTATAAAATAACATCTGCTTCTAAATGGACACAATATTTTATGATCTGGTCCTTACCTACTTCTCTCCAGCCTCATCTCTCACCACAACCCTTTACACTCTATGTTCCAATTAAACCAAACTACTCCCAATTCAAAACTTAACTGTTCTTGCTCCTCTTCCCTTCAAATTTTTGTACATACTGCTCCTTCTGCCTGGAACTCTCTTTTCACATAGCCCCTCCCCTTGTTAACTCCCACTGATCCTGGTGTTCTCATACTATACTTCTTTAGGAGCCTTTCCCTACGCACACCCATACTACCTTGTGGTTTCCCAATGGACTACCTAATTGCCACCTACTTTAACATTAATCACTGGTACTATGCTATAATCAATTGTCAGCTTACTTAGCTATCTCCCCCACCAGACAGTTCCTATATTTTAGGTATCCCTGTATCCCAATCTTCCAGCTTAACACCTGCCACAAAGCAGACATCCCAAACATTTATTACTGAAGAAATAATATTTCTAAATCGGTTTAGTTTAACATACCAGCATCTTTGATTAATAGTGCATTCATATCTTCCACATTAGTGGGTCCTGAAAAACATAAGTATCAGCAAAGGTAAATAAAACTAGTTTTTAAAAGATATTTTATTTCAACTCAATTTACTAGTTTATCATTTCAGTTTAGCATAATAAATTTCATGATATTAAATATACATACAGGTATAAAGGGAAAGCCCAGATTTTGTTATCATCACCATTAGAGAGCACAGGTACAAAATGTAAAGCCATATTACAATTTTAAAAATCATTGTAACATATTTGAAAAATGTCACGTCAAGCAACAATCCAAACAAATATATGCCACAGATTGCTAACTAGTGTATAATACCTTATATACCCTGATTTAAAAGAGAACTCTTAAAAGAAAAAATAAAAAGATGAATCCCTCAAAAGAAAAACAAACCAACAGAAAAGAAAAAGCAGGGCGCCTGGGTGGCTCAGTTGGTTAAGCGACTGCCTTCGGCTCAGGTCATGATCTTGGAGTCCCGCGATCAAGTCCCTCATCGGGCTCCCTGCTCAGCAGGGGGTCTGCTTCTCCCTCTGCCCTCTTCCCTCTCGTGCTCTCTGTCTCTCATTCTCTCTCTCTCAAATAAATAAATAAAATCTTTAGAAAAAAAAAAAAAAGAAAAGAAAAAGCATAGGCCATTCACACAAGAAGCTCTAAACATAATAAACAAACCAGGTCATGACAGTACATTAAAGGATGGCAACAAAAGAAAAAGTGCAGGCAGAAAGTGAGAGCCATCATGTCAGGTGGAAACTTCTGAATAAAAAGTTGACAGTCTCCTACCACTGTCCAGAAAGGAGAGTGTCATGGTTAAGCCGTGAAAAATACAGTTTCCTTAGTAAGTCTATTTCTTTAGAACAGAAAGATTTCTAGCAAGTTTATCAAAGCACTCTTCTGCTGTTAAATATGAATTTTTAAGCTCACTACTTTAAGAAGCTGGAATAAGTACAGCCCTAAATAAGCCAACTGCTCCACAACTGGAAAGATAACTAAACTCTGAAACCACTGAAATCCTTACCACCACACAACTTATTAGAGTGTAACCTAAATAGCTTATCCACTTTCCTACAGTGGTTTAAAAAAATAATAATAAATAGAAGAAAATGGAAATGATGTTCTAAGCTCAAAAGAAAAAGTAACTGAAGCAGTACAAATATAACCAACTTTAAGAATCAGTAATCCTACATTAATTAATAACTGTAATTTAAAAATCAATCCATATGAAAATACAAGTAACACTAAAATTATCTTCACAGATGAACAAAGTAAAACCTGACAGTTTTTTCCCTTGGTTTATAATTTAAGAACATTCTTTAGGTTTTTCAGAGAGCAAAAGCTTGAAAAGTGAGCTGCCCACTCACTACCACAAACAAGATCAAGCATCTCCTTCCCTACAGAAGCTTCTCTTGCTATTATTTGCTTATATCAACACCTGCTCAATCCCTGGTCCCTTACTATGTAATTTCTGCCCCAACATTTCAAATAACCCATTGTCTCAGAAGATTCCACGGCCTTCTGCCTCTTTCATTACTGGACACTTCTAATAATGTGCTCTTCTCTCCAGGATTCACTCCCATATTGTTCCTCACACCTCTGGAAGAGTTTCTGACCTGGCTTTTTTTTCTACAGGACCTTCATCTTTTCATATGCCTGAAGGTGAACATCTTGGATTCTCTCCTTGAACTTGCTTTTGTCTCCCAAGGCCCTTTACACACACACACTCTAAAAGTAAAACTCTATCTCCAAGCACTACTAATAACAGCCTCCCTGTCATTAAGACTCAAGTTCAGGATCATGTCCGTCACTCTCCCTTGCCCAGCACAGTCAGTCAGTCACCACAAGTCAATCAACAAAGAGTTACTGAGAGTACCAGACACTGGGAATAATGTGTGAACAAAACAGATGTGATCACTGCCCCTCTTCCTGGAATTTACAATATAGTAGAAAAGTCAGAAATGATAAATTACACTTGCTATTACTTATGCACAACCTGCTATTAGCAATCAAGTACCAGAAAGTTCACACCATCATTCTCTCTCTTAAATCCATTATCTTCTTTCCATTCCCACTGCCACCATCCTGAGCCTAACATTTGTCATTTTGACCTTTTCTCCCACTACTTTCACAACACACTCCAGGTAGACCACTTCTCCACGCAGTATACCTGACTGCCTACTATTTTGCTTATGCTGCTAGTATGCTTACGAGAGCAAAATCCAACTATCATGTTCAATGGCCTATCTCAAGGCCGCCTTTGTCAGTTGCCCATTCTTGTTCTCTACCCTGAAAGCCATCCCTTCAGAAAAGAACACATTCGGGTCTTCCTCAGATTCCCATCTATTATATGGTGTAGGAAAAAATGCATTGCACATGGGAAGCAGGCACTCAAAACTATTTTAACTGAACATGGATTAATAAAGTATAAAATATACTTCACCTTGAAGTGTCTGCATCATTTCTAGAAGTACAGGAGTAAGAGTCTGATTATATTCATGGAATATATCTATAAATAGTACTTCAGTGCAAGGCTGGAGAGGAAAGAAACCAATTTTCTAGTGAAAACAATGGTATATTGTATTGATCAATTCTACAATAAAGCAAAGAATACTCATTCTTAAAATCATAAAACTCCAAAAATGTTTCCAATTCTTGATGTTTCTACATAAAGCAGATTACAATTGTTGTAGATACACTGGGAAAGAAAAATTATAATTTGATTCCTAACACACAGAAAGTTTATTTTACTATTTCAATCATTTGGCATTAGGCATTCAAAAAGTAAAACTCCAGAGAGAAAATAACTTATTTTTAATTAACAGTTCTTTAAATTAAAAAAAGCAATCTAAAGCCACATTCATTTGCAGATTCAGTACTATAAATGACTATGCAGGAACTAATTCATTAAAAATTATGTATTTTTCTTAGCAATGACACAGTAAGTAACAACTCCAACTCAGGAATTCAATTCACCACATAGAACAGTATTTTTTTTTTTAATTAACATATAATGTATTATTTGTTTCAGGGGTACAGGTCTGTGATTCATGAGTCTTACACAATTCACAGTGCTCACCATAGCACACGCTCCCCTCCATGTCCATCACCTAGCCACCCCATCCTTCCCACCCAGCGAATAGTATTTCTTTTAACAGACACAAACAGTAACAGAAGTCAGTGTTAGCTACATAGTAAGAATGATTCATTTTGGTTCTTAAAAGTACCAAACCATCACATTAATACAAAGGAATTATGAATTTTGAAGGTAACATGCTTTATGTTTTAAAACAAATCTTACACACATACTGAAATATGTATAGATGAAATGATACGTCACCTCAAATACTTGCTTCAAAATAATCCAAGTTGGGGTTGGGAGGTACTCATATGAAGTAAGATTAGCCATGAGTCGGTAACTAATAAACGTGGGTTTTGGAATATACAAGGGCTCATGATATTATTCTATTTTTTAATATGTTTGAAATTTTCCATAAAGCAAAGTTTTTAAAAATTAAAGCAGTTAATTTTTTAAAAAAATTTAAAGCACTAATAATTTCTCTATCTCTGGTTTTCTATGTAAGCTTACAAAACTAAAAACATTAACATACATTCTTAGAAAAATAATAGTTTAAATTATGTAAACACAACTTTTCACACACAAAAAATAGTTAGAAGGCTACATTTGATTAATTTTCCTCAAATGTTGGCCATATAAAAAAATGTGTGCTTAGAAAAGCATTCTAGAAAGCATTCTAAAGGGGCGCCTGGGTGGCTCAGTCATTAAGTGTCTGCCTTCAGCTCAGGTCATGATCCCAGGTCCTGGGATTGAGCCCCACATCGGGCTCCCCGCTCCGTGGGAAGCCTGCTTCTCCCTCCCCGGCTCCCCCTGCTTGTGTTCCCTCTCTCGCTGTGTCTCTCTCTATCAAACAAATAAATAAAATCTTAAAAAAAAAAAAAAAGAAAGAAAGAAAGCATTCTAAAATTAAAAGCAGTGGGCTGGTCTCAGAATCACATTTGGTGGTACAAGAAATAACATATCAAAAAAAGCTTCAAAATTACTGAAATACTTTGGGGTGGGGGGTGGGAATCATTCTAGCCAAAGAGAAGTAGTTTTCATTTTCAAAAACATTTCCTATTTCTGCACTGACAATTACTTTTCCATCAATGTGACTGCAAAATGCAGAAAAATTCAGTTTGCAAACCCCAAACTGAACAACAAAAATTTAGGTTAAAGTTCATAATTTAATTAAGTACTTTCTTCTCAGATACAGATTCCTACAATTATATTTCCTATTTGTCTGGTTTAATGCTTGGAATCTTTAACAAAATATCATTCTCTACTAAGAGTTATAGAAGCATTAAGTATTTCCCTATCAATTTTTTTTTCAATCAATACTTACCCTCAAACTGTATTTCCAAGAATCTCCTCCTGTTTCTTCCACTGCTACAATTAAAAATACGACAAAAGATGCTCACCATGCAATAATGGTGTTTCCAAAGTTTCATTTTGGAATACAAAGATTTTAAATAATGTCAGTCTATTTCCATGAATGGTTTTAAACCTAACACTGAAAGCAAATCCTTGGGAACACAAGGCCTTACACAGATCTCTTTACTATATACACTATAGATCACATCTGTGTATGGGAGTCTCCCATCAAGTGCTTACATAAGCATTCTCACTTTCATTAAAAATTCTCTATGGAGGAAAGCTCAAAGGGCTTTGTCACTTCCAGAGTAAGTGGTATCACCTGACTTGCACACAGTAAGCACTCGAATATAACTATAATCCTGAGATTATTTCATTTCAATATAACAACGTTTTATAAGTTAAAATAATTAGTAACATTTTCAAAAATGTTCTATATTTAAATTTTTTAAAAAAGTAAAATACTTCAGGGACTTGTATAAATCTAAGAATTCAGTGTGTCATATTATACTATTATATCCACTGCATAAAGAAAGCAATATGAAACTTAAGATTTTAGCTAAGAGAAAAAGCAAAAACAAAATAGGATACATATAGTGTAATGCTGTATTTCCTAAATGAACTAAAATTATTTTTAAATAACAAAAAGAGGGCGAAGACAAGTCTTCCAAAATATCTGAGGCATTCTTAAAATCTTAGGAAACGTATGAATAGAACTACACAAATCACCCAGTCAAAGGGATGAGGAGAGCCTAAAATCTAGCCTATGTCTGAGGACGGCTTAAGTAAAACACAGGCATTTTATTCACACACAGGTACTTTACTAGACACATAATTTCTTGATTTTCCGTAGCAAGGACCTTGCTACTTTTATTCTATTATTAAAATTCAAATAGATAAAAAAGATCTCCCAGAAAAACATTTTAAGCATCAAAAAATTCACCTTAAAATTAAAATTTAAGTAGGTGATCTATTCAGCAATTCAGTAATTTTCCAAATTTCTTTTTGAAATAAAAATGTCTACTAATAAAAAATAAGATGGAATGAATCACAAAGTACAAACTGACCTGATAACAGAGACAGGTAGTTTATTTTATACTTTTGTTTTAAACTATATATCATATGTTCACAGGAATATCTAAAAATTTTAAAAGGTATCTTTCTGGAGAAAACTCCATGTATTTGAAAAAATCATTCATTTTCTGCTTCTCAATTTGTTCTAACAGATAACAAACTTTTAAAAGCCAAGACTCTCAGATCGGAAGTGCTATATTAAAACACAATGTTGTTATGCCTATCGTTCAAATAGATGATACATATTTAGGGAAGGAGGAGAAAAGCCAGGCGAAACCGAAAACCTGATTCTTACTAAAGCCTTCTGGGTCTTCTTCCCACATTGTCAGTTCCTCTTCAGTTAGCAGAAAATAATGAGAGACTAATCTTCTACACATCTCTGTCAAAGTGGGATATGTGAAGAATGCCATCTTAATCTTATGAGCTTCTAGAGTTTCAGGGCTGCTATCTAGAAAAATAAAATTCCAAGTTAATCATACAAAGATTCTACCAAAGTTGGATTATGTAACTTCAATAAATTTAAAAATACACTCTTGGGGGAGAAGATAAAGTGGTGTATAAATTCTCATTTTTCTTAAGGGCAAATTTCAAAGACATTTCTTTATTCACACCACACACATCAGTCTTGCAGCTGTCCTCCCACTACAGCCTGTACATCCCCGTGCTGTATTATCACACCATATTGGAGTGACTTAGATACATATGTCTTTCTCTCTCCTACAAGAACTCCTCATTCATCTTGGTACACATGCACATGAATGCAATCCAATGTCTAGAAGTAACCTCACTAAAATCAGAGAAAAATTTTAATTGTACAAATAAATTCAGCTTACAACATGAACTGCAGTGGTTATTGGAGTACTTAATTCTTAAAGTCCCAAGCCTTCAACTGACCTTTTATTGTGCTACAAAAGATAGTTTACTAAATACATTATAAGGCTTTTAAAGCTGGCACTCACATATTAAAGTCTCTAATCCTTACCTCTATTTCATGTCCAAGCAACATTTTATTTTTCACACTTAAGTAAATGAATTTCAAATAGATAAAAAATAGCAATTACTTCACATTTGAAATAATGGGGGAAAAAACTGCCAGTAAGGCATTACCTTCAAAATTTTTGGATGGCTTATAAGCATAATTTTTAACAATCATCTTAATAAGATTCATGCATTGAACAATGAATCGTTCGAATGTAACGCCTTCACCAACTTCCGTAAATACATAGCTTACAGAAAATTCCAGTGATCTCTGAATTAGAGGAGTAAATGAAAACGGATGCTGATCCAAGAAGTCCAAAAGCTATAAAGAAAAAAATTAAAATTTATTTTCTTCAAGTTCATATAGGAATATAATCATCCATAAGTACATCTTATAACTTTGCTGATATACATCTGGCAAGATTTGAACCTTGGTGGAGAATCTACATACATGTAGTTTTCCATGTAATACACGTGCAACTGATTTCATGGGATACATCCTATAATGTGGGTAGTGTCAGATTGTATCTCATGACAAGAAATTTCTATTATTTCTAGTCCAGGGTCCAAAATAGACCCACTTCATACTTAATTCAGTAACAATGGGTAAATATGAAACAAAAAGTGTGCATATAAAAGACAGGACTTTAAAAAGTAATAAAGGCAAAAAGTGAAACTACATTTCAACTACCAGTTGATGAGGTAGATTTCTTCTTTACGAAAGAATTCTGGCTAATAAATGCCAACAAAATAATAGAATGCCATCATTCTGTAACCCCTTATCAAACAACAGATGTAGGCATGATCATTAATAGCTTCTAAAATAACCAACAGGGAAAGGTTGCTGAGGATACGGACACTGTATCTCCTGATGTGATGCAATACGAAATACACAATACTCTTGTAAAGTACTCTTGCCATCCTTGCCCTCCTCCACAAAATAAACTCTGAATATGATCAAGCCTCTATATCTAACTACAAATTTATAAGAGATATGGGAAGAGGAAAGGTATAGAGACAAAGGAACATGGTAAGTAACACAACAGGATGGAGAGAGCCAAATGCAAACACAAAAAACTCTAGAAGGAAATTATCTATTACCTCGACAAATAGATAGCAACAACAACAAAAAAAGAGAACTGACACTACTGAATCCCAATTCCAACAAAACAGCTATAAAAATTGAGAAAAATCTGGGGCGCCTGAGTGGCTCAGTCGTTAAGAGCCTGCCTTCGGCTCAGGTCATGATCCCAGGGTCCTGGGATCGAGCCCCACATCAGGCTCCCTGCTCCGCGGGAAGCCTGCTTCTCCCTCTCCCACTCCCTCTGCTTGTGTTCCCTCTTTCGCTGTGTGTCTCTCTGTCAAATAAATAAATAAAATCTTTAAAAAAAAAATAAAAATAAAAATTGAGAAAAATCTAAAAACTGGCTAAATAGAGGATAATAAAAAGTCATTCCTACTTTTTAAATGTGTTAGATTGGTTACTTTAAACCCCTAATCACTTAAAGATATATATTCAAATATTTATAGATAATACTAATAGGATATCTGAGATTTGCTTTTTAAAAACCAGCAAGGAGGGGAGGGAGAGGAAGTATACAGATAAAACAGCTAACTTTCAACATATGTTGATAATTCCTGAAGCTAAGGGATGACCTCAAAGGGACTCAAATATGTTTGAAATGTTCCAATTTGTAAAGCTTTAATAAAGCCAGACATTATAATGTGAATTTCATAAATGAAATTATTTATGAACACTGCACAGATCCACTGACTAACCACATCATGGCATTTTACTTTGCTTTGTGTTTTTTTGGGTTTTTAACTTAAACTACCTGAGTCAATTTCCTGCTGGCTCTTGGAGGATTAGGTAGGCTTTTGCTGTTGAGGCTATTTAGGACCTAACTGTGGGAAATAAGGAGAATTGAAACTAAAGGTACTGCAACTTAACCAAAGACATAAGAACAGCTCATTTCTACTCCTTTTTTCTACTCCCAGGGGAACAGACAACCTTAATCCTATTAATGAAGCTTCAGGAAAAAAGGGAAAATAGGCTACAAGTTTAGATACTGCTACCTCTCTTCAACGGCCGGTTTTAGTGCAATGCAGTCCTCAAACCAGGTCTTCCCAACTCTATGTACTTCTCTCAACCATCCCCAGGCCAAAATTTCATAAAAATCAGTTTCCATAAAACTTTGTTTTATCAGAAATTTATACACATTGCCTAGCACAAGTGCACCCATATAATTCTATTCAAAAGATGTTTCATATTGACGATGATAATCTGTCATTCTGAATACAGTGACTTCCTGATATTACATTGCCTGTTACATATGACCTAGTTCCTGCTCAGCTGCAACTGGTACCTTCTTTATCTCTGCTTTTATCCAGTAGGCTTGAGAATAAGAAACTTCAGAGAAATGAACTTCCCTAATATTAGGATTTTTTTTTACAATAAAGTGACTTATAACTGATATTATGGCATAAATTTAATTATTACATGCATGCTAAATACTTCAAAGTAGTTTTTTTTAACTTTGCTATAGTCAGAAAACAACTTACTTCACATTAAAGAATGTATGCTCACATCATTCTCCTTCTTAAATCTGAGTACATGTATTTTTTTTAAGAAAACATACTTAAAATAAAAAGAAAACTTACCACTTTAGTAAAAAGAATGATGGTCTTTTCCAATCTATCTCTACAAACGTTATCTGTACCTATATTTCTACCTGTTAAAAATACAATTCAAATATTAGTACAAGTTTATAATACTCCATTAATTCACAATCAAAACAATGACAAAACCTTTCACAAAAATAGTCAAGATATATTTTTGTACGTTTTGCATTAAAATTCATTACCGTGCTTTCCCAACTCTAAAAAATTAATCATCAAGTTTTTTAAAAGATTTACAAGTACTTGGCACAGTCATCCCCAGTACCATGTTTCACAAAATTAATCCTAAAATACAAACTGAGCTCATGTTAAAGTGAAAGGGAAGTAGCAATTTTATCCATGAATTACCAATCACATTTTCAAAATCTAAATTAGTCACAGTTGAAATTTACAAGCAAAATAGGTAAAAACAAAGCATTCAAAGAGTAACATACTCATTATTTTTCCTGCATTTTCTGACCATTTTCCTCAGAAAATTTCCCTGGCATAATTAATTAATTTTGTATATTCAGAATAGTGTCCATCAGTCCATCAACTACTCCCTATAAGCATACTCTTCTGAATCATCTCATCATTTACAACATTCTCCTCTCCTGGGAGGACTCCTATTCTTCCCTTTGCTTCTCCACAGGGTGACCAGAGAAAATGACCATTTTCATAAAAGTAAACTACTTTATATAAGTTCGCTTATTCATCTTTGCATGTACAGTACCCAGAACAGTACCTGGTAAAAGACTCAACAATGTTTTTACTAAGCTGAAAACGACTCACATGAAACAACAACTCCCTAAAAGTGAGTACACTAAAATATCTTCTCAGACTATTAAGTCCCCAAGTACACACGCACGTAAATGTACACAAATACACACAGGATGTACACATGTGTATGTGCGCATGCAAGCACATGCGTGTGTATTCTGTGTTTGTAGGTGTGTATGTTGAGTAAAGGTGCTTACAATCACAGGGAAAAGGATAACAAACAATGAGTATAATATAACACAAATATAAATGCTAAATTCTCTTGTGTGTAGTGGATGAGAGAAGGCCCTAAAGATAAGCCAGTGAAGATTAATATACAAGGGATTTACAAAATTAAAGTACCATTTAAGGTAATTTATTTCATACCCACATGTAAAATGAACTAAAAAAGAACCTATACAAAGTCTAAGGAGCATGTGGCACAGGAGCGACATTTAATGAGTATTAAATACATGACTGCTGTGGATATATGCATGGAAAAGAGCAGTAGCAGTAAAAATATCTACAAAGAAACAGGACACAAAACAGATTTAAAAAAAAAAAAAAAAAAAACATTTCCGCAATACTCAGGACAAGACAGGTATATAAAGACAAAGTGGGCTCCCAATGCAAGCTCAAAGGATTAAAGATCAAGAGGTTAGCCTTTTCATATACACAAGCAGAGCACAAGTTATGAATAAGGATTCTATAAGTAAAATCTACTGTCAAAGGAGTACTTACTGCATTCCAGAAATTGCTTCAGACGGTCAAATATTCCATGTAAAAAACCCTAGAAAAAAAGTTTTTTTAAGGTCTCAATTTACTGTTGTAAACAGCTCCCTTATACTTTTTCAAAAATACTAAAATGTATCTATCACATCATTTTAAAAAGTTAAAATGAGATAAAATAAATACTATTAACAAATCTTCCATTAGAAAATACAGTATTTCATCTCTTCATTGTCTCATTTCAGTTACCTTAATCACTTTGCAATAAATAAAACATTTTTTAAGCATTCTGTTTAACTAGATAATCTCTATTCTCCTCACTGATTTTCTTCTTCACAGCTCTTATAATCCCCTGGCATACTGTTTGTCTATTATCTGTCTGCTCCCACTAAAATGTACACTCCCTAAGAGCCAGAAATTCACTGTGTTCACTACTCTATCCCAGAATCCAGGAACAGTATTTGAGAACATTAAGTACTCAGTACATGAATAAATGGTACTAATTATTTAAAGTAGAAGTTCTTAAGCCCAAGTATTAAATTTATTAGCTTCAGATAAAAGAGAAAAACAAGTGTCATCAATTATGATCTGGTAAAAATCTAAACAACCCTTATTTGCTAATACGTATTTTAAGAAACATTATAAAAATTTTACAGATATAAAGGGATAGTGAAAAACAACTTAATTAAAATTTTTTAAAATTTCAACATCACAGACTTTTTGGATCAAAAAATTTTGGTGTATAAAAGATGTCACATGCTCTTTCAACAAATAGGATGGTCCAAGTTTTTGCACAAAATAACTACATGGTGAAGGCCATTCTGATGAATGACTAACTAGAATAGTCTTATTTCCTCTTTGTCCTTAGGAATATGTTGTCCACTCAACCATTCTTGAGTTTGAAACAATTCAACTAGGATATCATCATCTGACAACTCAGAAACAGATTTCACTTAGACAATTTCACCATCATCATCAGGGCCTAGAATGCTGCTCTCAGTTTGTCTGAGAGCATCCATCTTCTGATTCAGGTAAAAATTATGAAACTTCTTCCTCTTGTCAATTTTCTTCTCTGCCAATTAGGGCAGAAAATGAAGTTCTGAATTCTCAGTGTGTTAAACAAAAGCTGAAAGTAGAATAAAATGATAGTGCTTCCAGTCTTCTTTATTCCTTCTTAAAGATGATGGAATACAGTGCACAACCCAATAAAGAAACTGAAAGATGACAATTTCACTACTGCTTCATCCTTCTGGCAATTCCATCATCTTACATTTGACACTCTTTCAGTCTTTTTAACCACAGTTGAGAGTAACTGAAAAGTAATGATAACTAACAAAAAAATAATTCCTAGGATGATGAAAGAGCAAAACGTTTCATTAGAGGACGAATAAGATCATTGAGATCCTATATGTATTTTAAATTTATACAGTAGTCCAATGATCCCTTAAAAAAATGACAACGTAGGGGCGCCTGGGTGGCTCAGTTGTTAAGCACCTGCCTTCGGCTCAGGTCATGATCCCAGGGTCCTGGGATTGAGCCCCACATTGGGCTCCCTGCTCAGCGGGAAGCCTGCTTCTCCCTCTCCCACTCCCCCTGCTTGTGTTCCCTCTGTCACTGTATCTCTGTCAAATAAAATCTTCAAAAAAAAAAAAGTAATGACAACGTAGAAAGAATTTTACTCTATTTCTTTTAAATAATACTAGTTTTTTTTTTTTAAAGATTTTATTTATTTATTTGAGAGAGAAAGACTGAGAGAGAGAGAGGATGAGAGGGGGGAGGGTCGGGAGGGTCAGAGGGAGAAGCAGACTCCCTGCCGAGCAGGGAGCCCTATGCGGGACTCGATCCTGGGACTCCAGGATCATGACCTGAGCCGAAGGCAGTCGCTTAACCAACTGAGCCACCCAGGTGCCCTAAATAATACTAGTTTATCAATCGGGGTTCTCCAAAGAAAGTAGCAAATGATAAAAGTCATCAAATTTAGTAAGCTGATCAAGTGAATCAAGAATTTATAGAATTATAGACAGCTAATTACTCTGCAGGCCAAATAAACTAAGTTACAGTTTATGATTTATGTTAAATAATTACACAATAACTCAAATTAACCATTAAATGGTCATTTATGGAGCACTTTAATTAGCTGAACCATTTACAAAAAATCATTATCTCCCTTAATCCTCACAACATCCAATGAGGTAGGTACTATTATTTCATCTTCATTTATAAACAAAAAAAAAAAAGAAACTGAGTATCAGGGTAGGTAAGTAAACAGCTGGAGGCCACGCTATCAGGAAAAGGCCAAGTCAAGATTCAAATCCAAATCTATTTGCCTCCAGAAACCAAAATCTCACCATTATCATACAGCACTTCTAAAGCATCTTTTAAGTTCCATGTTATTTTTAAGACCTTTATGTTACTTGAAAAACCGCCCTTAACTTGTTAAAATTCTATTTTGTTTCCAACAAGTCAATATACCTTAACTGCTACAAAACAGCATTTATAACTGAGTAAAAGCGGGCATACAGTTTCAGTAGACAGAAGACAGACTCTCAACGGAAAGCCAAAAGCTCACAGAACATTGACAGTTTCCTCTGAAAACCACTATTCCACTTTATAGGAATGTGATTCAAATCAATTTATTTTTACTAAAAAAAACAAAACGCCAATGAACACAATATTTTAGTTACATAATTTTATGATATTCAGAATCATATTGCATATAAAAATAATTACTGAGCCGGGGCGCCTGGGTGGCTCAGTTGGTTAAGCGACTGCCTTCGGCTCAGGTCATGATCCTGGAGTCCCTGGATGGAGTCCCGCATCGGGCTCTCTGCTCGGCAGGGAGCCTGCTTCTCCCTCTGACCCTCCCCCCCCTCATGTGCTCTCTCTCTCTCATTCTCTCTGTCTCAAATAAATAAAATCTTTAAAAAAAAAAAATTAAAAAAAATAATTACTGAGCCTTCTGACCTACTGTTTCACTCTATCACATATTCTTTCATTTTACAAATAACTACTGAGCATTTACTATTGGCAGAGACTATTCCAAGCTCTGGGACGGACAGTGAATGAAATAGTCTCTGCCTTTATGCAACGTAATGCATTACAGTGCAGGAATTTAGGAGAAGCTGTCTCATTGGTTTCTGAAGTGTTTTATGGCACTATGGCAATAAATATAAATATTTAAAATGTATCAGCATTAAAATTATGGCTGGGTTTTTTTTTACATATTTTGGCAATTTGACAATATCAATCAATGCTATCAACGTGCCTGTACTTGAATCAACCATTTCCACTTCTAGTAATTTATCCTGAAGAGTTCATCAGAAAAGTATATAATGACATATATACCCAAATGTTCATTCCAACATCACTGACCAACAATTAAAAACTCGAAACAACCTATATATCCATCAGTGGATAACTAGGAATTTTTTTTTTTGTTAGTTATCATTACTTTTCATTGAGTAAATGAGTCCCTTAAATACTGTATTTAAATCCTAGCTCCAATGGATAACTGGGCAGGTAAATTATAGGAATCCTATATTAATGTTATCACTTTTTAAAAATTAGCTCACTGACAGTAATCACATGGATTTACCACAGAATCATTAAAAACATAACATATATTACTGACATGAGAAAAATACCCATGAGAAAAACGACATATAAATTTAAGAAAAAGCAAGTCAAGAAACAGAGCATGGGACCCATTTACATAAAACTGAGGAAGAGAGAAAAGAATATCTGAAAGACTGCATAAAATGTCTTAAAGTATACTTACAAATTTTAGCAATATCTTTGATACCAAGTTTTCAAATGACTTTTTATTTCCTTTCCTTCTGTGTTTAACTTTTAAAAAAATAAGCACGTAACACTTTTATAGAACAAAATAGCCATCACACTATAATGATGTATATCACCAGCTTTTAAATTCTTTTAACAGTAGAATCATTATTGCAATCAAAATCTTACTGACAGGCACAGTATACTAAAGATTTAAAACAGAGTAACTCTGGTCAAATCTGGCAGGGCAGACCCAAAGACCCAATGAGATGTACTTTTTTCACAATTCTGTTCAACACCCCCAAAGCAACCTATACAAAGCAACATTTTAGCTGACTTAAACTCACTGTGAAAACTAACACAGATCTGAGTAAATATATAATACAATCTCATTTTGTTTCAGGATAAAATATATACAGCTATATATTCTTGTACACAGAAAAAGTAGATGATGCCATACAAACAATGAATATACATCACAAATGTTGGGCTTAACAACAGGGCTTTCCCTTCTTGTATATATACATGCAATTGACTACAAAGAGCACACATAAATGTTATGATCAAACAAAAAAAATCATTTTAAATATCTAGGTCCACAATGGACCTAGAAATGTAATAACAGCATTCAAATTCAAGAAGTTCACCCCAATTCAAATTATAAATAACACTCAATGTATCATGGCACTTGAGAACTGTCCTAGGCTTATTTCCTCCCCTTCATGAAGGAGCTGCTTTGATATACTGAAAAAAAGGCCATAAGTCTAAAAAGTATAGTATAACACATACAAAATGGTAAAAGGTCACTTAATAAAAACTTGTAAATGAATGCCAAGTAAAAAGAATAAGCTTTAAAACATTCAGGAAAATACCAAGCACTTTCCCAAAGCCACAAAGAATCAGTAACTGCTTTCACTTACCATCACCTCCATATTCTTATGAGGTTCCACAAATCCATTAACAGTTAATTTACGCAGCACTGAAAAGTAAAATTGAGCTTTATTGCACTAAATGCCTCGTATCTTATCCTATAAAATCATAATCATAACAAAGACTCAGAATCACAAAGCCTCATCAAGACTGGGGGTTACTCTAACTTCATCCTTTCATATAATAGATAAAGAAAGGTAATCCCTGATCATTGGTTTGTTTCCAAGTAGGAAAGATGGAATGACAGTCAAATTCTTATGACTCAAAAGCTGTGTTCTTGAGAGTTTGGACCAGAGGCTGAACTCGGGATCTGACAAGATGGCCGGGCTGCCCTGCAGGATTATCAAGGCAACCCAGCGTTTGCTGGCAGAACCAGTTCCTGGCACTAAAGGCAGAACCAGATGAGAGCAACGCCCATTATTTTCATGTGGTCTTTGCTGGCCCCCAGGATTCCCCCTTTGAGGGAGGGACTTTTAAGCCTGAACTATTCCAAACAGAGAAGAATACCCCATGGCAGCCCCTGAAGTATGTTTCATGACCAAAATTTATCATCCTAATGTAGACAAGTTGGGAAGAATATGTTTAGATATTTTGAAAGATAAAGGGTCCCCAGCACTGCAGATCTGCACAGTTCTGCTATCGGTCCAGGCTTTATTAAGTGCTCGCAATCCAGCTGATCCATTAGCAAATGATGCAGCGGAGCAGTGGAAGACCAACGATGCCCAAGCCATAGAAACAGCTAGAGCATGGACTAGGCTATATGCCATGAATAATATTTAAAATCAATCTGATCATCAAGTGTGCATCACTTCTCCTGTTCTGCCAAGACTTCTTCCTTTTCTGTTTGCATTTAATGGACACAGTCTTAGAAACATTACAGAATAAAAGCCCAGACATCTTCAGTCCTTTGGTGATTAAACGCACATTAGCAAATCTATGTCTTGTCCTGATTCACTGCTGTAAAGCATGAGCAGAGGCTAGAAGTACCATCTGATTGTTGTGAAACCTTTAAAAGCAGTGGCCCTTCTCGGCTTTTATTCATTTTCCCCCTCATGGTTTGAGTATAAAGCACTGTGAATGAAGGTAGTTGTCAGGGTTAGCTGCAGGGGTGTGGGTGTTTTTCTTTATTACTTTTTTTGAGGGGGAGAGGTAGTTTTATTTTAATTTTATGGGCTCCTTTCCCCCTTTTTATGGTGATCTAATTGCATTGGTTAAAAGCAGCTAACCAGCTCTTTAGAATATGCTCTCTAGCCAAGCCTAACTTCATTTAGATGCTGTAGATGGACAAGCTTGATTGTTTGAACCAAAATGGGAACATTAAACAAACATCACAGCCCTCACTAATAACATTGTGACTTTGCTGTCAAGTGTAGAATCCTTCCTTCAAGAAAAAGCTTGTGACCATTTTGTATGGCTTGTCTGGAAACTTCTGAAAATCTTATGTTTTAGTAAAATATTTTTTTGTTATTCTAAAAAAAAAAAAAGCTGTGTTCTTCTCACATATCTTAACTACTTATGTTTCTAAAACTATATTGCAAAACTTAATTGCTATAACTGTTAGTACTTCTCACTAGCAATAACCCCTATAAGTTGAAACTGAGAAAGTTATCTCTCTATTCCATAACCATGAAATTATGTCTCAGCAGTGACCAAAGAACTTCATTTAGTTTTAGACTACATTAATGAAAATATAGTATCTCCTATAAAGGATATAAAAGCTGAACTATTTCCAAATCTGAAATAGACTACAGCGCTCAAGTATAAACAAACATCACATTTTATGAGTAACTGGTGTACACAGGGAGACAAGCAGGATAAACGACTGGAAGTCAGATCTATATTTAAATCCCAGCTCCGATGTTTACAGCTGTATTATTTTGGACAACTTTTCTAGATCTCACATTCTTTGTCTGTAAACTGTGTTAGTAAGTCCTACCTCATAAGGTTATTAAAGGATTCAATAGAATAATATATGTAAAACAGCACAAATCAGAAACACAAAGATGGCAGCAACAGAGACTACAAAATTCAAAGTCACATCACTTTAAGAAAATGTTACAGATAGCACTGCTACCTCTGTAACTGAGAGTTAGGGTTCATGACGTGAAGCTCAAAGGCAGTATACTAAAAACAGGTTTAGAAGGGGGTAATGGTGGAAAAAAAAAAAGTTCAGAACGCAACTGTCCACAAAACTATCAGTTTCAAACTACAATTATATGCAACTCAAAAGTTACTCATCATCATAGGAGAAAACAGGATTCAAACTGAGTCCCTTATTCTGGATTCATTCATTCCCACAAAAGTACTTGCTCCACATTACCTGGGACAGTCCTTTCTTTCCCCCTTCATCACTTGGTTAACGTCTACTTACCCTACGATGATTCTGGTTCAAACATCACTTTCTCAGGAAGTCCTTTCTGACCGCATTGTCAGTTACCATAATATTGTAAGACCACTGTCACGTGTCATTTTACATATATTTGTGTAACCATTTTATTATGTCTATCTAGTGTCAAACACCTAACCACAAATTTATTGAAATAATGATTATATATATGCATGTCTAAGTGCACACAGGTATAGACTCAGATTACATATAACAAAAACTGTAGTCTTAAGTTTTGCTCAAGTCATAGAAATTTACAGCTGGGCAGAACAAATACTTTAAAAGGAAATGCTATGGGATTTTTCCAGGTCAAGATATCTTAGAAATGCTACGGTGTACCTAAGACCCTGAGACAAGGAAGTACTGGAAAGCTAAAATCAGGCTAATGTAGATTAGTGCTGCATCCTTTTTGTCAGAGTTACTCTTTGAAATCAGTAAGGTAAGAAAACCACAATTAAAAGCACTAGTGAAAATTCCTTAATCATTAAATACAGAACTTACACAAGTCTTGTACACATAACCTTATACCAGTTTCTGGATAAATGTTTATCTCTAAATCCTTTTAAATTTCGTCCTCAAGGATGTTGACAAAACCATCTCCACTCACTTATATAACCAACCACCTGTATAATGAATTTTACTTGTCAGCAGTCCCTTAAATTCATTCACGCTTTTGTCTCCAAGGTTCACCAAAATGTGCTGACAGTTTGAAGTCTGTGCATCCACTGTCTGATCAATGGTAAGTGATGCACGAGAGCAGTGCCAAGAGTGTACAGCAGTATCCTACGGTACGAAGAGGAGTATGACAAAAGGGCTTATAAGTAAAGCCAAAGGATGCAAAACGAGCCACAGAAAGAGCACTAAAGGCTGCCTGAGCTCAAACTAAGAAATACAAACTAATAAAAAGCCTAGGCACCAGAAGAGGAGAAAGATTGGAAGAAAAAGAGAATGAGCCAAGCATGAGTGTTCTGTAAAGGAAAGGAATCTCAGAATATATTTGTCAAGGTAACCAGCTCGGGGAAGATAAAATAGAAATTTATGCCAAGGGATCCCTACAAGCAAAGCACAGGAAAACACAGGCTAAGATGGCATGCCATCAAGCACCTTCTAAAATCCAAGTGAGCCTGACGTACAAACAAGACAGACAGAAGCTGAGTTCTCATGGAAAACAGACCTGGGAGACAGAGCTCAACGAACACTTGAGGACTGAAGTTTAGTGAAGTTAGCACAGCAATGATAAGGGCAGGAGCCCAGAAAGGGAAGTGTAAAGTAGAAGCAAAAAAAAAAAAAAAAAAAAAAAAGGCAGAAATATTTGAAAGGAACATATTCAGAGCCCCGAGACCCCAGAAATGTGACTATAACATAAAACTATCCCACACTTTTATCCCACAAATTCCTTGAGGAAAGGCTGTTCTCACTAACGAAAAACCAACCACAAATAAGGCCTTGTATGTGAGGGAGAGACTAACCACATACTCTCCCAGGGCAAGTGAGAGCAGATAATCCATCAGAGGAACTATCTGTTGATTCTTCTGAGGTATGTCATTTCCAAAAATGAACATACCAAGTTTAATAGTACCTTTCAATGACAGCAGAGTTCGTTCTAGTGAACTTAGAACTGCAGCTTCACCGCCAGAAGAAACGTGTTGAAGGAATGTGTCTGTATGGTGATTCCACAGAGAGCAGGCAAAATTATAAATTCCAGATGCTAACTGCAAAGAAATATCAACAAATTTGTTCATAAAAAACACAGATTTCAGTAATCAATGAGATCTACAGAGTAATACATTTCAACTTTTAGGTCCGTTTTTAATTACAGTTTTAATGTCATTTTCAATGAGATGTGAAATAGTTAAGTCATTTATCACGTTTCAAACTTTTTAAGACAGAACGTACAGTATCAAGGACCGTTTCTGCTGCTGCTGTGAACACACATATACACACCTGAAATACTCGTTTTTCTTGAAACAGTACTTAGTCTAATGCCTGCACTGCAGTCTGACATTTTCTATTATAGCTTTTTTCTCCCACTAATATGCTGCAACATTCAGCTTTTAAAACAGTGACAGACTGTCATTGAGTATAACATATAAAATAGTATACTAAGGGGCGCCTGGGTGGCCCAGTTGTTAAGCGTCTGCCTTCGGCTCAGGTCATGGTCCCAGGGTCCTGGGATCGAGCCCCGCATCGGGCTCCCTGCTCAGCGGGAAGCCTGCTTCTCCCTCTCCCACTCCCCCTGCTTGTGTGCCCTCTCTCGCTGTCTCTCTGTCAAAAAATAAATAAAAATCTTAAAAATAATAATAATAATAATAATAATATACTACTACAAAAGAATCAAATTTCTGTGTTCTGCCGGTTCTACCCATTATGGTTTTAAGGCATTTAATGCAGGAACATACAAACCACAATGCTTGTCAGGCTGATTTCCTAATAGGTACTGATATTTACAAACCTCACTTTCACACTGGGATGCAGTTGGCCTCTGCCACCCAGGTTGAGGCAGAACCATTTCCAGGGGTATCTTCAGCTTTTTATGTTTGTTTTTCCAGAAGGTCTAAGAGCAATCCAGCTGAGTCTACATGGCCATTCAATTTAAATAAAAATGATATGAAAGTACACATTAGGGCGCCTGGGTGGCTCAGTTGGTTAAGCGACTGCCTTCGGCTCAGGTCATGATCCTGGAGTCCCTGGATGGAGTCCCGCATCGGGCTCTCTGCTCGGCAGGGAGCCTGCTTCTCCCTCTGACCCTCCCCCCTCTCATGTGCTCTCTCTCTCTCTCTCTCATTCTCTCTGTCTCAAATAAATAAATAAAATCTTTAAAAAAAAAAGTACACATGAATGACTAGTTATCATTAGCATACTCTAGAATACTTTTTCTTACTCCAGATAAGAGTATATCATCTTCACTAAACACTGGATTTATAGTAATTTCAGGCATCAGAAACCAGTCAGAAATGCAATCCTATAAATAAAACTTCTATGAAAAAAATCCCATTTCTATTATTTTAATTCAATAATTTTAATGGTCTATGCTTACAGGTGTAGGAAAAGAGCTTTGCCAAATCCCCCTGGTGACTTTGCATGTATCTACATAGGCCACAAAGGCAAAGACTTGAACACAACTAATAGGAGTATCAGCAGAACATATTACAATCCTCCTGGAAAACAAGAAATGGAAAGCTTGTAAGGAACTTCTACAAGACCATCTCCTGCTCACCTCCTCACTTCCTGGGTTCTGATGAGATATAAAGTTCTCTGACCCACCCCCTTCAAAATAGAGCTGCAGAAAAAAAAAAAAAAAAACCACTTAGTTACGGGCTAGAAGAGGCTCCTTAGCAATGGGGCATCCCACAATTTGTACCTGAGTCATTCAGCCCATACTGCCTTGGTCATTCTTTTTGGTATGTGGAACAAAAATCACAGGGAGTTGGTACCAATGTGTCTAATTTCTTTTCTCTGTCCAAAATAAATAATAAACTGTCGAAATCTAAAAGGCCTTCTGTATTCACTAACTGATCAGAGCTTTGGCTCTCCCTTATTTTGTGCATATGCTTAAAACAGGTATAATGACTACTTAATAAATAAATTCAGCATATTCTCAAATACACATGGAATATATTAGAAAGTAAAATCAAATTATATTATTTAATCTTAATGTTTCATGATAGTCAAAATACAGTAGTGATAATTAGCTCAATACCTTATTACAGCAAGCAGCAATATCATAAAAAGTTAAGGGTCTAAAATTGGTATCATCCTAGGGAACAATACTGTAACAGAGAAGCAAATATTCATTCTAATCAGAAGGGATATAATCTGAAGAAAAAAAAAAAACACTTTAAAAAATGTGTAAGCTTTACTTAGGACTATAGTGAACTTCAATATTTTTCTTAGTAAATCAAGTCCTTTCTGAGACTATGAGGCTAAAATATACATCTAGAATTGGAAAAATTCATCAACTTAATTTTTATTACACTTACTGGTAAATGTAAGTTAGAGCATCCTATACTTTTCCAAACATGTAAATCATCAAACTTTTGTCTGCCAGAATAAAGTGAAAGAGCAAGTCCCATTCATTAATCCTAAAAGTCCTAAGAGTCACAGTGCCTTTCATCTAATTCTCAATGCACTCCTCTAGCATTGCATGCCATACACAATAAAGAAAACAACAGTAACCATTCCCTAGTTCCTTAATTAAAAAGTAAGATTAAGCTTGAGAAAAAAAGTTGACCAAATGGAATCTGACACCAGCTGAAGAAAAAAACTTGTAAGGGATAATCTACCATCCTAAATCACCAGCATAACATAACTGAACTCAGGAGGTTCACCGAATACAACACAACCCAAGAAAGTAATGAAAGAGATTTAGAGGCAGGGAAGAAGTAGTAATGATACATAAGACCTAAAAGCAACGTTTTAAACTAAAGTATAATTTCTATTGCAGCAAATATTTCAACAAAATAAACTGAAGTCTATAGCCCTGGCCATAATTTTTAGACCCATTTTATACATACACATTAAATAAAATCTAAGGGGAGACATACCCCAATTTCAAATAAGAACAGAAAACCATTATACTCTAAAGCAGTCTCTTGCTTACAACTTACTTTCTAGCCCTCCTTCACATCTCCTTCTTAAAACTATTTGTTTCAGGGGCACCTGGGTGGCTGAGTCAGTTAAGCATCTGCCTTCGGCTCAAGTCATGACCCCGGGGTCCTGAGATGGAGCCCCACAATCAGACTCCCTGCTCACTTGAGGTGTCGAAAGGTTAAGTAACTTGCCCAAGAGCAAAGAGTGTAATTAGCAAGAGAAAGAGACAGGACTGAAACCAAGGAAGGTGCTCAGAGCTTACATTTTTAACCTCTATGTTCTAATGCCTCTTAATATAGTATGTAGCAATTAACTACATAGTAATTTGGTAAAAGAAACAAACATTAGTTGTATAAATTCTGTTAAAACTTTTTAATACCAAAATACAAATACTAAGTAGATACTACCCTATACATTCAGAATCAATATAGCAAATCCTGTTCTCCAAAAGTTATGTAACAATTCAATAATGGTAGAATTTTCTTTTCCATAACAATAAAAAGGAAAACTGCCCCACACTCACCAAGATCAATACTGCTGCTAATATGGATGCAATAAACTGTTTGAATGAGAATCTCACCTAACAAATTCTTCCGTTAAGTCTCAACCCTCCTTTGTACAACACTCAACAGAAAAACATGAACTTCTGTTCTATTATTTACATGGAGTACCTATGCAAGACAGCTAATATAAATTGAACATTGTTCATATATAAATATACAATCTTTGTATGTATATAAAATTTGGAGCAAGTCCCATTCATTAATCCTAACAGTCACAGTGCCTTTCATCTAATTCTCAATGCACTCCTCTAGCACTGCATGCCAGATGCAATAAAGAAAACAACAGTAACCATTCCCTAGTTCCTTAATTAAAAAGTAAGATTAAGCTTGAGAAAAAAAGTTGACCAAATGGAATCTGACACCAGCTGAAGAAAAAAACTTGTAAGGGATAATCTACCATCCTAAATCACCAGCATAACATAACTGAACTCAGGAGGTTCACCGCTAGGGGTGCATCAAATACAACACAACCCAAGAAAGTATTGAAAGCAAAGAACTTTGTATTATTTGCTACAAATAAGGAGACAAGGAGATAGCTCTCAAAGCACTCTCTCTCAGTGAGGTTAGTACAGGAAACCTTTATTCAGTGTATCAGGGGGCAGGAGCAGGGAGCTCACATAAGCACTCTGGTTCAACTGTGCTTGCCTAGCATGTCAACATGCTTCCTAGTGCACACGTCCTATGTATGAAAACTCTGCCCACAGGAGGAGACCTCAGAGTTATAATGAACTAAAGGTAACTTCAGGACAACTCAGGGGGGCTTCTGCACAGGTCCTCACTTCTAATCCAGCTCAAACTGGCTCATGTAGGGGCTAACAAGGGAGATACACCTAGTAAGGGGCTCTCAAGTGAAACACGTAGTTGGTCCTCTCCTTGGCCAGAACTGTTGGTTTTGCAAGACAAAACACATTCCTTCCCGCTTTTGTCCCTTCCCCTCCTTCCTTCTGCTGAGAGTTTTCGACTGCCTTATTTGAGACCTCTTCTGTGAGTAACTTCCTGCTGCATTCTACCTAACAAAAAAAATGTCAGATTTATTTTCAAGGTATTTTACAATAACATTAGCAAAATGGCAAAACTACGTTGTTATAATTTTTTCAGGCACTATTTCTGTTACCAGGAGAATAACCCTTCAGAGTTCCACCACCTGCATATGCACAATGTAAATTATAGTACATATACCCAACATAAAATCCTCCCCACTGACTCCCAACACAAAAAACAAAATAAACAAAATATACCACAGAACATCTGTGAACACTGTACCAAAGGTTCTTACTGTCACAAAAGTGAAGAAAAGGAAGTTTTTCATTATGGTGGAATCAAAGTCATTGTAGTAAAATTCCATTTTGCTCCATAAAATCGTCCTCTTTTCCATTTATCATTTCACTCTAAAACATGTTTAAGAAAGTCCCATAATTCAGATAATCAAAGGTTCTCTCCATTCTACCTTAAGCAACTTTCAGCAATTTTTGAAATTTTCATCCCCATTTCTTAAAAAAAAATGCCATAACAGTTACAGACATTAAGGGCAAAGTTAGATCTTTATTAATTCTTCCTGCTTGCTAGCCCTGAAAATTAATAGTATGAAAGCACCACTTTAATTAGTCCTATAAATATGAAAAGCACCTAAGTAGCATGGCAAATGGCAGGTATTGCTGAATGAAGGCATACAGCATTTGAGGCAAAAATCAAGAAAGAATCAGCAGTATTGCCAGAAGAAATTTTTAATTGACATTCTCCTTGGTCTCGTATTCAGTTCTGGAGCTAAGCACCTAGTTGAGGACATTAAAGCTCTAATTCAAGTTCTTTTTAGCTAGCCTACAAACGAAAGGCCTCTACCCAAACAGAGATGGTTAGAATGAAGAATAAGCAATGGCGCTACCCTTTCAGCCCAACGGTAAAAGGAGAAAGACAAGAGAATGAAGGAAGAAACCACAGGAATTTGGGAAGAAGCTCAGCTGGAAAAGGGAAAATAATGAAGCTCAGTTTCATTATTTAATGAAGCAAGTACACGAAATAAAAATATTTCTTCTACATTTTCCTCTCAAAAACGTGGAGGGAAAAGGAAGACAATTCAGTGAGACAATATGAAAATAAGCTATTTGATGAAACACATTAGGTACTGGTTCACAAAAACCACAAATACTTGCATTTTATTTTTCTAAACCAGAAGAAACACTGCCACCCACTGACTGCTGAGTGATTTTAACCGATAAGTGCAAAGACTTCACTCCCTGATTGTCAAAAAGGAACCATTACGGGAAGTTTTATTTCTCATAGCATTTAAAATATCCTTACACTTTTTTAGCTTCCATATCATGGTTCTCACAATTTTCTCCTAAGAAACAAACTGAGAAAGTTTTAAATCAAAGTCTTGTAATTCATCACTAACAGTGGGACACAAAATATTACCCATAATCTATAGCTGTCAAACCTGCCTGACCTCAAGCTCATCAACAAGACACATAACCAAGAGATGTAGAACGTACAAAATCCTGTAAGACTGGTCAGCCAATTCTTTCACCAAGTGGCATTAAAAAAAAAAAAAGGAAGGAAATGAATACTATTCTAAAGACACTTAAAAGACTTGACCAAACATACCCACCTTATTCATTTTTCTGGCTCAAACCACTTGTTAAAATATATTTGAGAATAATGTAGAAAATCTGCTAAAAGTATTAAATGGTACTAAATCACTATTTTTATTTTTCTTAGGTTTGATAAAAGTTAAAAAATTATAAACAAAATTAGTATCCTTTTACAGATGAATACTCAAGTATTTAGTGATAAAATATCATTAAATCTTTAAACTGCTTTAAAACACCTTAGGAAAAAAAGTGAAAAAACAAAAACAGCAAAATGTTAACTGCTAAATCTAAGTGACGGATATATGGCAGTTTATATTTTTCATTTGCATTCTATGTTTTAAAATTTTTAAAACAAGGACAGGGGAGGGTATGTACTATGGTGAGCACTGTGAACTGTGTAAGACTCATGAATCACAGACCTGTACCCCTGATACAAATAATACATTATATGTTAATTTAAAAATTTAAAAAAATAGATACAAAAAAGAAAAAAAAATTTAAACCAGAAAAAAAATTTAAAAGTAAGATTTAAAAAACGCCTGTATGTTATTAATAACAAAAAGGTAGTTACTTTGGTAGTAATCAGTTTTTGCTTTAATACAAAGCTTAAATATATATTTGTTTCCATTGAACCATATATATATCAAATTGCCAAAATGTCTCAGGACAGAAGCTCTGGTGGGTATAAGATCTATCTCAAAAACAATTTCCAATCAAACTGCCAAAGTCTCTCAACTGATATTTATTTATTTTCACTGAAGGACATTCCTAAAGACTGGTAGCATCTGTTACCTACATATCTTTTAGTAAACCCTCGTTTTCATTTTGTTCTCAAACCTGCCACTGGTACAGCTCAGGCCCAGGAGGGACACTGTGGCCCATGTTACAGATCCCTAAAGTCCTCTAATCCTTGCACAGCCACAGACCTGTGTTCTGCCTCTGGTGCCTAAATGATGCTCTCATGTATCCAAAGAATCACAATTCATGAAGGGGAAGGAAAAGGTCAAACTACCCTCCTCCCCACTTGGGACCTTATCTTTGTTCACAGCTGTGTCTCAGGCATCCAATACAGTGACTGGCAGAATAGGAACCCAGTATTTGTCATGTGGATAGAACAAACAGTACTCCTTCATGAGCAACTTACAGAGATTTTAGTGATACATTTTTTGAGTTTTTATTCTTTTTCCAAGTCCCTTTTCCTAGGACCCAAGTAACAGTCTGTATACTATAGAAAAGACAAGCACCATGCTATACTAAAAATCTCTTCTGCTCAGTGCACAGCTTTTTTTTTTTTTTCCTCCTGGCTCAAGCTAGTCCCAATGAGTCTCTCTCCTCCCTTAAAAGTTCCCACCAAAAGGTTCTTCTTCCCCTCCTATTAATATAAGCCTAGACACACACATACAAGCTCAAATCCCCACAGAGGCTCACAGCAGAAATGACCCTTTGTAAAATCTGAAGCCATTCTTTAAAAAATGTGTTTTTAAAAGCCAATATAAAATTTGGCAGAGCAAGAGACAAGATCTAGGATCAACATGCATTTAGTGAGGCAATTAGAATCACCCAAACAAAACTGAAAACAAACTATTTCACCTATTTAATGATTTGCTTAGAAACACACATTTATGGGGTGCCTGGGTGCCTTGAGTCGGTTAAGTGTCTACCTTTGGCTGAGGTCATCCCATGGATCCTGGAATCGAGCCCCATGTTGGGCTCCCTGCTCAGAAGGGAGTCCACTTGTCCCTCTCCTCCTCTCCCTCTGCCCCTCCGCCTCCCCCCACCCCAGCTCATGCTCTCTCTCTCATTTGCACTCTCTCTCTCATTCACACTCTCTCTCTCAAATAAATAAAATCTTTAAAACAAAACAAAATACACATTTATGTTTTAAGTAAATTTCACTACAATATAATATCCTGAAGGCTAGAGTTATACCATGTAAGTGGCACCTTGGTATACTCACATTTACCATTCACAATTTCAACTATTTGGAAATTTTCCCTAGGGATATCATGAAGTTAGAGGTTTCTAAAGACTAAGTGTGAAAGTCTCTGCTATAAGGCTGAGTGATCTTAGCACTAACCAATCCATCTCAAAGTAGCTATGTGGTTTCCATTTTGTTAGCTCATTTAGAAAACACACTAACTCATCAGGAAGACTATTCTGAAGTGTGACTGACCTTTGAACAACACAAGGGTTAGGGGCAATCCCCACCTCCACACGCAGTTGAAAATCTGTGAATAACGTTGGACTCCCTCAAAACCTAACTATGAATAGCCTATCGTTGACCGGAAGCCTTCCTGGTAACATAAACAGTCGATTAACACACATATTTTGTACATCATATATATTACATACTGTACTCTTACAATAAAGTTAGAAAAAAGAGAACGTTACTATGAAAATAATACAAAAAATATATTTACAGAACTGTACTGTAAAAAAAATCCTGTGTATAAGTGGACCTGCACAGTTCAAACCTATGCTGTTTGAGGGTCTTGTAATGCGGTTTCACCTTGCTTCAGTTCCTTTTACCCCTATCACGCAAACAATACACACACTGTTCAGTGGGAATTTATTCATCATCAACCGTTCAGTTTTTAAAATTTCTAAGTTTTAGCCTTAACAGTTAACATCACTTAGCCTTTAACAAACAGTTAACATCAATATTTTTATATTCAGGTTTCTATGAAAAGCATAGTTTTATAAAAAAAAAAAAAAATCCGTTTTTTTTTAAAGATTTTTATTTATTTATTGAGAAAGATAGTGATAGAGAGCATGGGGGGGGGGAGGGTCAGAGGGAGAAGCAGGCTCCTCGCTGAGCAGGGAGCCCGATGCGGGACTCGATCCCGGGACTCCAGGATCATGACCTGAGCTGAAGGCAGTCGCTTAACCAACTGAGCCACCCCTCAAAAGAACATAATTTATTTTAATGTGAAAGAAAAAGAGGATATAGAAATTGTTGGGTTGCACTGAGCAGCAGGTTCTACTTTTAAGTGTACACTGCACTACTTTGCTAGAAGAACTAGCTCAACTATGGCTTTACACTTTTAGGTGGGAAACTAACTGAGTACATGAAGACCATCTTAGCATCACAGTAAAAATATTTTTAAAAGAACTTTCCTATACTTCAGATTACCAAAATAATAGGGGCTACTTTATTAACTAGCGAAACTGCTTTTTATAATCATGTCTTCCTATATATACTCCCTTCAATTCAACTACATATCTCATACCCCACTAAACCCATCAGACATGATTGTGTTCCCCTCTCTACTATGCTCCGTGTTTCCAGGTTCAGCTACTCCAATCCATATTGAAAGGTGCTAAGTTGAATTTTTTTCCAGGTATCTTAAGTTTTACGTATCCTCCCAAAATTCCTGCTCTTTTATACTACGCCACTTTGAAATCTGTAAGGTATCTAAGAACAAGTCTCCTCCACAACTTATTCATTTAACTGACAGTTACTGAGCACCACCCACTTCTCTGCATTCTTCTGTAAGACTATAACAATAAAGGCTAAAATTTCTCTCTCATGAAACTCATAGTGAAGTGGATCTCGGACAGATAAGTCAACAATTCTAAGTCAGCACTATGGAATAAACAGTATGCTCAAGATGCTAGGAAGACCTATACTTTACAGTGTACAGAGAGGAAACAGCCTCCTCATACTACAAGAAAACTGACCAAGAAAGTTGAAGGGCTCAGAAAGCTAACTCAAACAAGCTATCCAGAATACAGCCTCTGATTAGATATGATTCGTAAAGACTGCTTAGGCTAAATATAAATTATACCTAAAAACTGAAGCAACACATTAGGAGAGTACAACTTGAGAAAGCTGAACTTTGAATTCAGATTTCTGGAGAAGGGTACTCTTTCATAAAATAATTGCAACCCTCAACCTTCAAGACATTTGACTTGGGAAAAGAGCCAATATAAAAGTAAGGAGAAGAGTGTAAGATGGAGATAAAGTCAAGCAAAATCAGCAAGAAATTCACAGAAAGACCTGAAAGAATCAACAGTCCATTTCCTAAATCCTAGTTGGTTATCAAGCAAAAGCAACAAGGATTTAAAAAGCAACCTTCAACAAAAAGAATTTCTCTTACACTCAACATCCTTGGATAAACCTAATATTGGCTATTTAAACCAACTGGGTTCAAAGTAGAGAACCTAATGTGATTCTGGCTTAAGCTTTGGTATATGTAAGAGTTACCTGGAAAGCCTATTAGAAATGCAGATTCCCAAATTATATCCTCAAAGTGAGGATTACAAAGGCAAACAAGAACACTGTTAAAAATACTATGAGACTTATCAGTGTTACATGGTGCAGTCCAAAACACTAGGCTGAACAAAATGAAAATTACTACTTTAAGGTGAAAATAATCAAATACAAAAATGTCAAAGCAAGTGAATGAAAAACGCAAAGTCTTTTCAACAAATGGTGCGAAAACACCCAATAAAGGGTCTCACCCACCAGTTATGTCAGATTCCTTCCCTACATCTGCCCTACATGCATCAATTACCCAAGAATGTCAAATTTAACTTTCTATATTTCAACTCTATCCCTCATAAATGTTCTCTTTATCACAGCTTCTTTTTTCCATCTGAACCTCAAAAGCCTCAAAAGAGTCTCTGCCTTCAGACCATTCTCTACCAACCAATCCCTGCTTACTGGCAACTAAGCAATCTTATTGTATCACTATGCAGTTTAAAATCTTTCAGATGTTATCTGTTATTCTGAAGCTTTTAGGTCCACTGGAAAGAATTCATAGTCTTTGATTAAAATATTTAGAAGGGTAAAACCACAGACATTTTTATACCAGTAGCAGTTTTCATAATCAAATCTAACTATTTTAAATCACTTACATCATAAAACAATTTCCTATCAGCAGCCAGACGTTTGGAAGCCAGAGTCTTGGTAACATGATAGAAGGTAAGTAATGCTCTGTGCTGTCGAAGATCATCTTGGACTTTCACAGATTCTATAAGAGTGGGAATAAGTTCAGGCCACTGTCTAGGACAGTCCAATCGAGCAACTTTTGCAATCAGCACTGCAATCTGAGTTGCAATCTAAAGGGAAAAAAATCATCAGAAATATACATATGAAATCAAATCAGCAGATAAGGAATGCATTCACAGTTGAAAATTACCTTTTGGTTAGTTAGACATTTGACAAAAGTGAATAAAATTTCACTGAAAACTGCTTACTGAAGAGTGATTCACAAAGTATGGTCTATGAATCCTCCGAAGAGAGGATGGGTCTAAGAACTTTCCAGGGGTCTATGAGATCCTCCCTTTCTCTCACTCATCAGTGAAGCTAGATTTTCTTCATGTAACTTCTCCCAAAATAATACATTCCAACAGAGTAACTGAAGAAGCAGATATGAAAATCTAGATGTCTTCTTTTAAATACCCAGACACCATGGCTATATGCAAAAAAACACAACGCTACTCTTCTCACTAAATATTTGGGTAAAGAGCTATGGTTCATTTTTAAAAATTCTATTATGTTAACAATCAATGGTTTTGTTATTTTCAATTAATATTTTTAAGTTTGTTTTAATTGCTAACACAGTAAATATTAAAGATATAATACTTTTTAAACAGTCAAATTAATTAAGTGTAATAATAGTATCTTGTAAAAATCTAAGATTTGTAACCGTAAGCAAAACTTACTCTTTTAAGAAAAATCGCACTCTAGAGGAAAGAAAAAAATTGAACTGTATAATCTATTATCTAACCCCCTCAGAGTACACAGTGAGAATGGAAAATGTGATGGATGAAGGAAACAGAGAAGATATCCTGTAGTTTAAAAAAAGGAGGTGGGAATAACATAAATCATTAAAATTAATTTCTAAGACTACAAATATATAGAGACTTGCTTCCAATAGTGTGTATCTTAGTGAATTTTAAAACAATAGCCAAATATAACCAAAATTCTTAACACCTCAAACTGAATCTCAGAATTTAAAAACCATAAACATCACAAATGGACATTATGAAGTATCATTTTTAATGCAAAAAACAAAATTAGTTTGGGAAAGAAGTAAAAAGTAAGGCAAAAGAAAGAATACTTGGCATTCATTTTCTCACTAACCTGGTTTACTGGTTCATTGAAGTTGGTGATTAGCCCTGCACGCAAAGTAGATTTCTCCTCCTCTGAGAGAGCACTGTAAAAAGATTTATTTATTATGCAAAAGAATGCTAACTAACAATAAACACTGGTAAACACTATTTTGAATTTTAACAATAAAAAGCTTTTCAAACGAGGGGTTCTGATTAGTTTTGGTAAACAAACAGAATTATTTCCATTACTTATAATATTGGCACATCAAGTAATTCATAAGCATAAAACTCCTTCACAACTGAATAAATATGAAGCACAAAAAAGTAAACAGTAGGAAATAAGACAAATCCAAAGTAAGAAATGTGGTATTTTGACATCTGCTCTTATTGATATAAAAATAGTTGGCCTAAAAAAAAAAATTAATCGCTGCTAAAAGAAATGTGTATGAGTAGGTATTAGTCTTCCACTGACTTCTTTTATAAAATCTGAGTGAGGTTATTCTATGGAGAATCAGGAATCAGAGGATATCTGGGATGAAAGAATTATTAGAAATCAACTAGTTTAAAAATCTAGGACCTCCAGAATAAGCAAAGCCCTGACAAGAATCTTCATTTTAGACTTCTATACTTCTGAACTGTAAGAGAAGACAATTCTATTGTTTTAAGCTACCTAGTATCTGGTAGTTAGTGATGGCAGACCTAAAAAACTAATGCAGCATCTAAAAACAATGTAGGCAGCCAGGACTTGCAAGGGGTCTTAGAAAGAAGGGAAAGGAACTGTGCTGAACCAGTACATTTCCCCTTGAGGTTATCTGCCCACAAGGAATCACGGTAAGAGCAGCAGCTACAAGACTAATAAGCAAGGAAGAGATTTCACCAGGTCTCAGGGCTGGAAAGACAAAAACTAAAGCTCAGGGCCAACAAGGCAATACTTTGGGTAAACACCCAAAGCTTGCAGCTGAAACCCCAAGAAGGCTAAAAATTGGGATTAACAGTAAACCAGAAAGAGACCACCCTCAACTAAACCAAGGTTGAAGTCATACTGTATTTGCTTGCCTGGAAGAAATTAAATTCTCTCTGGTGAAAAAAACAAAATTCCAAGCCTCTCAAATTTTCCCTAAACAATGTTTAGCACTGAGCCAAAACTTATCATGTACAATATAAACCAGGTAAAAATGATTAAAATCAAAACACGAATAGAAACAGGAGATATAAAAATTGTAGTTACCAAATCACACTTAAAAAAATTATGGTTATGGTCAAGAAAATAGGTGAAAACTATAGTATTTCACCACATAGGTGGAATTCGTTTTTTAAAAAATACCAAAGGGAAATCCCAGAACTGATTTTAAAAACGGGGGGGGGGGGGGGGGGGGGAGCAAAACAAAGGTAATGAACTTGAAGAAATGTCAGTGGAAAATCTCCAGACTAAAATATGAGAAAAAAATAGACTTCTAGGAGCACCTGGCTGGCTCGGTGAGTAGAACATCTGACTCTTCATCTCTGGGTCATGAGTTCAAGCCCCACAATGGGTGTAGAACTTACTTAAAAAAAAAAAAAAAAGGTAGAAAAAGAGAGAGAAAGGGAAAGAAAAAATGGACTTCTAGTTTCAAGGGTGTTCTAAATTGTACTAAAGGCAATTCTTTGGCAGAAGACAAATGGATCCGATCCAGATGGAAGCCCAATACCAATGAAAGAAATGAGGAACTCTAGGAAGATAAATTTAAAGAAATACTACTGCTGGGGCACCTGGGTGGCTCAGTCGTTAAGCGTCTGCCTTCGGCTCAGGTCATGATCCCGGGGTCCTGGGATTGAGCCCCGCATCGAGCCCCCTGCTCGCATCAGGCTCCCTGCTCGGCGGGAAGCCTGCTTCTCCCTCTCCCACTACCCCCCGCTTGTGTTCCCTCTCTTGCTGTGTCTCTGTCTGTCAAATAAATAAATAAAATCTTAAAAAAGAAAAAAAAAGAAATACTGCTGGTTTTTCAGGGGAAGATGGCAGAGGAGGAGGATCCTAAGCTTACCTTCCCATGCACACAACTATGTAATACCCACATCTGGGTAAGTAACACAGGACACAACCTGAAGACTGGCAGAACAGATTCCACAACTAAATGTAGAGAACAGGCAATACTCAAGAGGGTAGGAAGGGAAAAGAGATGGTTAGGAGCAAAACGGACCTGCAAGACTGTCCAAGGGAGGGAGGGATGAGACCGGTGCAGAGAGGGAAGAGAAGCAAACCCCAGGCATGGGGGACACACACAGGGAGGATCAATCCCCATAACTCTTGAAAACCAATGAGGCCTAATGACCAGTGGAACTTATCACCTGGAACATTACAAATCAGTGGACTAGGCCCTGGGAAAGCTGGGAAGGTGGGAGTCCCTGCCCTTAAAGAGAAAGCACAACAAATAGCCCTGCTGAGATACAGCACAGAAGCAGCAATTTGAAAAACATCTACAGTGCCTGGGAAAGAGATTTTTGTTTACTCATCACAAAGCCTGTGATGGAGAGGCAGGGAACTTTGGGAGACGTCTATGAAAACAAAAGAGCTGGCAGGCACCATTCCCCTCCCAACCCCAGCCTAGATAAGGAGACAAATGCTGGAACCAGTCAGCACCAACATTCCCCACCTAACCTGCTAAGAGCATGCCCCACCCTGGTATTCTCCTGAGTACCTGCCCCTCCAATATGCACTTGGCTAAAGCCCATCCAAAGCAGTGCTACAAGCCTAGCAGTGAGCAAGCAGCCCCAAATGGGCCCAGAACTACTCCAAACGGACTCCCACCATTGAAAGTGAGGGGATGGAGAAATATCTATCATACAAATGAATGTCAAAAGAAAGCCAGAGTAGCAATATTTATATCAGAAAAAATAAACTTAAAAACAAAAAATGAACCAAGAGACAAAGAGGGACACTATATAATAATAAAGGGAACAATCAAACAAGAGATATAGCTATCGCAAATATTTATGCACCCAACATACAAGCACCTAAATACATAAAACAGTTAATAACAAACATAAAGGAACTAATAGATAATAATACAATAGTAAGGGAATTTAATATCCCACTTATATCTATGGATAGATCATGTTAACAGAACATCAGCAAGGAAACAATGACTTTGAATGACACACTGGAACAGAGGGATTTAACAGACATCTTCAGAACATTCTATCCTAAAACAGAATATGGGGCGCCTGGATGGCTCAGTTGTTTAAGTGTCTGCCATCGGCCCAGGTCATGATCCCAGAGGCCTGGGATCCAGCCCTGCATCAGGCTCCCTGCTCAGCAAGGAACCTGCTTCTCCCTCTCCCTTTGCCCCTCCCCCTGCTTGTGCTCTCTCTCTCAAATAAATAAATGATCTTTAAAACAAGAGAATAGACATTCTTTTTTTTTAAGGGAGGTTGTTTGTTTTTAAAGATTTTATTTATTTATTTGACAGCGAGAGAGGGAACACAAGCAGGGGGAGTGGGAGGGGGAGAAGCAGGCTTCCTGTGGAGGCAGGGAGCCCGACATGGGGCTCGATCCCAGGACCCTGGGATCATGACCTGAGCCGAAGGCAGATGTTTAACGACTGAGCCACCCAGGTGCCCTGAGAATACACATTCTTTTCAAGTGCACACAGGACATTCTCCAGAATAGATCACATATTGGTCCACAAAACAAACCTCAACAAATACATGAAGATTGCAATCATAGCACACATATTATTTGAACATAATGATATGAAACTAGAAGTCAATCACAAGAAAAATTCTGGAAGGACCACAAATACATGGAGGTTAAATAACATGCTACTAAACAGTGAATGGCTCAACCAGGAAATAAAAGAAGAAATAAAGAAGTATGTGGAAACAAATGAAATAAAGAAAACACGTTGGTCCAAAACCTCTGGGATACAGCAAAAATGGTTTTAAGAGTGAAATTTATAGCAATTCAAAACTACCTCAAGAAGCAAGAAAAATCTCAGATAAACAACTTGACCTTAAACCTAAAAGAACTAGAAAAAGAACAAGCAAAACAAAACCAGCAGTAAAAAGGAAATGATAAAGATTAGAGCAGAAATAACTGATACAGAAACTAAAAAAGAAAAAAAAAGGGATGCCTGGGTGGCTCAGTCAGTTAAATGTCTGCCTTCAGCTCAGGTCATGATCCTAGCTAGGGTCCTGGGATTGAGTCCTGCATCGGGCTCCTTGCTCAGCAGGGAGCCTGCTTTTCCCTCTGCCTGCTCTGCCTGCCGCTCCCCCAGCTTGTGCGCACTCACTCTCTCTGACACATAAATAAAATCTTAAAAAAAAGAAAAAAAAAAAGCAATAGAACAGATCAATGAAACCAGGAGCTGGTTCTTTGAAAAAAATTAATAAAATTGATAAGCCTCTAGCCAGACTTATCAAGAGAGAAAAGGACTCAAATAAAGAAAATCACAAATGAGAGAAGAGCAATAACAATCAACCCACAGAAACACAATCATAAGAGAATATATTAAAAGTTAGATGCCCCAAAATTGGACAACATAGAAGAAATGGATAAATTCCTAGAAATACATAAAGTACCAAAACTGAAAAGGAGGAAATACAAAATTTGAACAGACCAATAACCAGCAAAGAAATTGAGTCAGCAATAAAAAAACCTCCCAACAAAGACCAGGACCAGGTGGTTTCATAGGCAAATTCTACCAAAGATTTAAAGAAGAGTTAACACCTATTCTTCTTAAACTATTCTAAAAGACAGAAAAGGAAGAACACTTCCAAATTCATTCTATGAGGCCAGAATTTGTTTGGCAACAAAACCAGATAAAGACACTACAAAAAAACAGAACTACAGGCCAATATCCCTGATGAACATGGATGCAAAAAATTTCAATAAACCAAATTCAACAATACATTAAGAAAAACATTCACCACTATCAAGTAGGATTTATCCCTGGGTTGCCAGAGTGGTTCCATATGCGCAGATCAACCAATGTAATACATCACATCACTAGGAGAAAGGATAAGAACCCTTCCATCATTTCAATAGATGCAGGAAAACCAGTTGACAAAGTACAACATCCATTCATGCCAAAAACCCTCAACAAAACAGAATGAGAGAGAACATACC